ATGAAGAATGCAGGAATACCCAAAATTATTTTGATAGTTCTTTTCTGGCTAGACATTAATCCATATCCTTTTGTTTTAAATTACTCTATTTGTCAAAGTTAATATGCGAAACAAAGGCATTAGAAGGATGAATTGCAATGTGGACATTATTTCACACATACTTTATTTTTGCAGACTGCAGGAACCACTTGTAAAGCATCTGTATGTCTCTTTCTGTGACAGATATGACTTCCCATAAAGGTGACCCCTTCCTTGACTCAGTTGGTGTGATCCATGTCATGCCAGTGCCTTTCCAGAGGCTGCTGTTCAGATCCCAGTGCTTCACTTTCTGCTCTGGTCACGATACACTGTGCTTCTCATTCTAATGCTGGAGTATTTGTTCAAGTCCATAGACTGTGTGTTTTTAATCTTCCTCAGAACAATGGTGAATAATGGCCCTTGGCAGGAGATAATGAAATTTTCTTAATTTCTATTTTCAAGCAGAAGCTGCAATTGAAAATGGCATCCTATGGCCTGCAGACATGGCTCTAGTGCAAGTTTCAGGGGAGCTGTAATAATAATGCAGTGCCAGCAGTGACGAGGAACGATAGGACAGTGAAGAAGTAATTTAAGAAAGAAAAGAGAATGTACCAAAGCTTTATTGTAGCATATCTAATGATCTGCTGAAGATTCCCAATAGCTTTTGGAGCATGACAGGAGAAACTAATGTTATCTTGCCAAAACAGGAGCCCCTGCTTAATCAGCAGAACGAGATTATTGATTAAAACACCTCACACAATAGATTGCACGTGGAATCTCATCTCCATACACTGCACGTGGAAAAGTGCAATAATAAACATAAGATAATAATAAAAAAAAACCAGGCAAAAGCAATTTGTTGGGAATTGTACCGGTCGAGATTAGAGTTGAAATGCAAACAAATTATCATGGAAAATACAGCTCTCCTTACTGCTGAGCAAGGAGGATGGATGCAGCAGGGACATGGCTACATCATGAGCAGAAGATGCTTAAAACCAGCCCTGCTGGAGCTGCTTTCCTTTTTCTTTCTTTATTCATCTGAAATGTGAAGGGGCCATTCCTCATTTGCACAGTCTTCTTCCTGAGGTGAAAGGAGTTCAGACATTATACTGTAACTGTTAATTAAACACTCCATTTGATTTTTAGATTACTCTAAGTGATGCATCTGCATTATGGAGATGTAACCCTTTTTCATTCATACTAAAGTACAGAAGAAACGAGTGTCAGAGTCCACAATTGCTTCTCGCATTCATGAAAATAGTGGTAATTCGTACATTTCCCCTTGCAAAACTCTTTGTTGTTGCTAGCACAGGAACCTGAATTCTTTTGCTACTTCAGTTAGTCTTTTCCTAACTAGGGTTTCAAATTTAATTCATATATTACCTTGCCTAAATCAACTGTTCTTGAGTTTATATAGAGTTCTTTGCAGATCTGCTTTATTTCCTCGTAAATGACAAAGTCATTGTATCATAAATCTTTGTGAATATTGTGAATGTCTTAAGCACAAAGACATTTCTCAGTGTGAGATCATATGAATTTTAAGATTGTTCATAAAAACCTGAGAACATGTGTATTTTTACCTATGCTGGGGAAAAGTATGATGTTATGTAGATTGCAGAACACTTAAATGCTATTAAAACCTACAGAAAACTTAAACACTAGATCACAAACTGAAACACCAAAGTATTTCTGATTTTGACATCTTAAATTTGCAGAAATCACAGCTGGTTTGTATCATGCCTTCATTGGAACAATTCTAAAAGAGCTTGAATGGATGGACCAAACTATCAGTATATTATGTAGAAAAAATAACTTTGGTTAAAATGAATGAGGGACTTCAAGTTATTCGCCAGTTAAGGTTTTTGAGGTTTGGGTTTATTTTTTTTTCCTGATGGTGTCTAGGCCAATTCTGCAAATTGCCAGGAACTTTATTTCCACTATAGTCTCCTTTTTGGAGAATCCTGTGACAGACAGGGTGTTTGCCCATTACAAAAACGAATGAAAATGGGTCACCCTGTTGAGGGCTGTAAGGGGCAGTCCCCTGTTCTTGGAGCACAATGTTTCTGAGTGTAAAGGTTTCACAAAACTATGAAGTTCTGCTGTGGCAGGGATGAGCAGCTTTGCTAATCTGTAGCCATGTAGGATAAGCTGCTGTTTAGTGCTGCTTTTGGAGAGCAGAGGCTCTTTTGGCCAATTTGCACAGAATTCAGTGCTTCTTGTCTCAGAGGAGCTCAGCTGAAACCTTGCTCAGTTGGCAAAATGGCTTTTGCAGAGAGCAGCAGGACTGTAGGCCAGCGACTAACAGAGAAGTTTGTGTCCCTGGTTTTACAGAGCAGAACAACGCAGCAGACAGAGGGCTTTCATTCATCCAGAGAACAACTCACAGCAGCGTCAATTCCCCGAGTCACTTGTCTCAGAACTACCTCTGCAAAGTCCACTTTCTCTTCCTGTCCTGTCTGTAAGCCAGGAATTGGGATTGACAGCTGCTGTGGTTGCTCTTGGTTTGTCTTGAATGTCTCACTCTGATAGAAATGTGACCACTAAACTCTGTAACAGTGACCTGAATGTCGGCTTTTTAAAGTGTGAATATCCTAATCAAATGTCTTTAACTCGAAATCTTAGAAGTGCTTGAAAATTAGAACCCTATGTGAAAATTACTCAGGTTTTGTAAAATGCAACCAGCAATGCAGAAAAATCAGTGATTTGAATATGAAAAACTGCAACTTAAAGCAGAAATACTCTATTCAATTAGCTATTCAAGTGATTGCTGCTGTGTGCGGTAGCAGTGCTGTGTCCTGCAGCAGTGGGCACAGCTCCTTGTTTTGGAATTGGGGTCTCCTTTGGCCAAAGGTGAGCTAGAGGTCACCATATGCACAGCAGGTGAAATCCTCTATAAAGAAATAGTCAAAAGTTTTTAGAGTGTCAACAACTTCCTGTAAACACCACTCAGTGCCTGAAGTTTGACACTGACAGTTACTGTACAAAGAAAAAAATCTGAATTTTCTTTTGAATAATATTACACATCCTTTTGATAAAAGCTAGCATGAAGCTCTTCTCATTTTTCTGGCTGATGGCAACATTATGAGTCTTTCACTGGGGGAAAATGAAACAGAAGAAAACAACTTTTCACAGGGCAACAAGAGTTGTATGTATGAAGTATGACCTTCATTGGTTTTATTCTCAAGCAGTTCCTCCCAGCATACACTCATGGAAACCATCATACTGGATGATGCACTATGAGAAGCCTCCTTGTGGGAATTATTTTGGTCTCGGCGTGAGGTTTTCACTAAAGAAACACAAAGAAATTTAAAGAAATTTATTACAAAATCTTACATCTGAGGTTATACTCGTCAGTCTACCTGAGGTGTGGGGCATAAAAACCCTGTATCAGGGATATTACAGAGAGGCCTGTGATTTTGGGGCCCTGTTGCCTTCTCCATCTACACAGCACACGTGCAGGTGAACTCCTCACCATCTATCTTTGTCCATGGTCGTGCATATGTACAGAAATCCCTGACTAGTTCCAGTTAGTTCTGCAATTGTGATTGAGCCTTATGCTGCTGGAAATAAGTAGCTTAAAATAAAGAAGAGAAAGGAAAAAGGAGAATAATTAGCTGATGGAGTCAGAAGAGTTGTTGTTCCCCAGTTCCCTCAGCAGAGACACAGCATGTCCTGCCCAGCTCTGGGCTGCTCTGATCACTATGTAAAAAGGAGTGATTTATATTAGAGTTCTTCAGAGGTGCTTGCTCTGCCTTTTATGAGGTAGCATGAACTATTCCAATACCTGTTGGCACTGTGCAGCTGTGGAAAGCCATTGATCCAAGACAGATGATCTGAGCCTGGCTGTGGCATTCAGGCAGTGTGGGAAGTAGCAGTGCAGCAGAGAAGTTGATGTACAGCTGGAGTCAAAGGCTGCTCTATTACTTAAGTTCAGACTTCTGTTATTCAGTTTGCTGACAAACAAAACTAACCCCTGAGAAGATCAGCCAAGCTCTTTTTCTTTTAGTCACCAAACTCCCTGACCTTCTCCTTTTTTTCTTCACTTCCTTGTGACTATTTTTTTGTATTACATTTTGACCATCTCTTCAGGGTTAGGTGATTGTTTTTTTCGCCTTTAACTTCCAAGCTAATATTTGTTTGGTATTTTTTATTCTGGAAAAATTAATAGTAGTATAAAATATTATTATTATTATTATTATTATTATTATTATTATTATTATTATTATTATTATTATTAAAACCTTCAAAAATGTTCAGTATATCCACGTGGTTAGAGGCATTGTAATAAAGTTCTTTTTTGTATCAGAATGCCTTTGCTTTCCTTGGTAAGGAAATCATTTATATATTTCAATACTTAGTCTCCTCTAAAATACATTTTAATTAATTTTCTTGAAGTTCTTCTCTTTAACTATTTTTCTTTTTTCCTCAGATGGTCAATCTTTACCTCTTCCTGTAGCCTAACAAGAGCCCACCAATAGCTCCTAAAATAATTTAAATGAAAATGCTAATGTTCTTTGTCTATATTCCAACCAAAATAACTTCCTTGAATCACAGTAAAAATCTCTCTGAAATGTAAAACCATTCAGCAGTATGTATGTCTCTAAAGATGGAAGGAATTATTCATTGGTGTTATTATACGTTATTCAGAATTGCACATTTTTCAATTATGTAATCTTTACATTTTGTTTTCATTTTATTGAGCAGTAGTATCAAATCAGTATATAATTGATACAGCTGTGTCTACAGTGGGGACATTTAAGATAACACCCATCTCCAAATTTAGAAGTATAAAGCATGAACTAAAATATTGTCTTGAAGCCTTTTTTTGGACTTTGACTAATTAGTAGTAATTAACTTTGTTGTCTTATGGATTGGATTGCCCAAGTGTGAAGAGAGTTAGCACTGAATGTGGTACTTGAGTATGAACTTGCAAATTAAATGTAATTTTAAATTAATTAGCTTGCTTTCTTTTCCCATTACAGGTGCAACAACCGAACACAGTGTATAGTAGTTACTGGGTCAGATGTGTTTCCTGATCCTTGTCCTGGAACATACAAATATCTAGAAGTTCAGTATGAATGTGTTCCTTACAGTAAGTATAATCTTTTTATTCTTGCTCACTTCCTCTGGCCCTCACAATTGGAGCTGGAGTGCTGTTCCATGGAAAAGCAGCATATGTTTGTGGCCCACGGAGCCATTATGCATGCAAAGCACTCGCAGGCTAGGGCTCCAATTAGCTTCACAAAGCGTGGAAGGAAGCCATGGTGTGATGCTGGCCAAGTGTCTGTCTGTGTTCTTAAGTGTTTGGCTTTTAAGGCTACTGTTTTTCCAGAAAACAAACTCAAATTAGCTATTCAATAGGCCAGATAGAAATTTGTACTTTTGCCCGCTACCAGTTGCTGACAAATTGGCTTGGCTCACAGACTTGTAAAGCAGGAATTGACTTCAATTTTAATCATGATCTACTTGAAAGGCTACCTGCTGCTGTGGTGACTTTGGGTGCACAGCAAGCCCAGCACTGACACTCAAGAGGCAAATGACCCAGTTGGGGGACATTGTAGGAGGACCTTGTGCTTCCTCTAAATGAACGCAGATTCAGAGTGAATAATTCATTAATGAGTTACTCAAACTGGGTTCTTAAAAGCAGAGGGGAAAAGAGTGAGAAAGAAATGTTCAGTTTTAATTTAAAGACAAAATAGGAATTGTGCCTTAAATCAGCTGCCAGAACAGGATTTTTCACTGAAAACAAAGTAAATACTGAAGTCGTATTGAGATAGAAAAATGCGATATTATGGCTACTTCAGCAGTTTTGTACAGTATTCTTTCTAATGCCAAAGTGCTGTAGCTGTAGACATACTTCTTATTTCCTTGCAGTAATTAATGCTTTTTTCATTGATATGTATGCATGTTCATGAAAGTTCTGCAGATTGGACACTTTTAACTGGTTTTGCTTTCTTGTAAGGTCATTCTTTGCAGTGACTTCTCCCTCGTCCCGTAACTCCACAGAGAAATAGCTGTGCTTGCAATGGAATTTGAGCAGTGCCCTGATCGTTCCCTTGAGTTATTATTAAGTGTGTATTTCTTGATCTGCAGTAATCCTTAACCAAAGTCACATTTTCTGTTGGTACAGGAAACAGGCCAAGTCTGAGATGCAAAAACTCTGTGGTGACAGTATATATCCAAAAAGGAAGGAAATGAGTTCTGGCATAGGCAAAGCCATGTCAAAACTCTCCGTACTGTTTCCTGCACAATTTTAAGATTTAGTCTTCTGAAACTGAAATACCGCTCTGTACTGCTTCACCACACTGAACCTGCACTGTTGCTAAAGGCCAAACACAGATCATCTGTTTTTTCTTCATTCCTGCTGTGTCATTGTGAAATGGTTGCTTGCTGATTTTTTTCCCTGTACCATTTGTAGGACTGGAAGCCTACAGCAAACAGTGATCCCTAGTACCATTCCTCCTGTGTGTAGTATCGGTGGCTTGTTGTAACTGTTCTTCTCGTGCCACTTTTGAGGAGTGATGTCTTACCCCAATCTAACCACAGTTTTGTTCCACAAAGACCACTTCTGCTTTGGCGCTATTTTCGTTCCCAAATTCTCAGAAAGAGGGCAGTGCATCTGAGTCCAAACCGTGAGGTCAGACAGATGACAAGGAGTTACGTTTCCAGTTCCAGTAGGCTAGCTCATAGAGAAAAAGTGTCATGCAAATAATGTTCAAACGTGATTTTTTATGCTGTTTTAGGAAGAGAAGTGTGGATATGTTCTACCGATTGAGTATTGCTACCTACAGGAACCTTTTCTTTTCCAGTTTCAGAAGTACAGTGCCACAGCGCGGCCTGCCCTGTACTCTGACTTGTAGTGACTCTAACTTTAAAATGTTTATTTTTGTTTACTGTCAACTGTATTGGCCTGCCCTTTGAACTATGTAATTCTATGTCTATCGTAACTCAGGATTGTGGATGCTTCTTGTCTTTCAAAGTCTCTGAGTTTTGGAGTTTGTCAACTGCAGCATGTACAGTGATGACACTACCCAACTCCAGAACTGTAAGAGGTATCACCTGTCATTGCCACCAGTCATCAAAAAGATTACCAGAGACCAAAATCAGTTTTCAAATCTGATTTCAAACCACACTGTGCTTCAGTAGCCATTTTGGTTGTTCAGAAGCCATCTTTCTTCCCTGTCCCAAAAAGCTTATCCTGTTATTTTTCAAGTCTCTTTTTTTGATGCCTGATAAACTCCAGTTATCAAATCTAAATTTTTATTCCTTACTTGTTCCGGTGCTCCATATCTAAATGTACAGAATGACTGAAATCATTAAGTTTGCAAATAGCAGCTGTCTCAGCTTAAGAGACTTGTTAGGAGGGCAGGATAGGCTTTTGTGGGCCTGGGAAGGGAGGAGTTTAGTGATCACAGCACTTCTAACCAAAGTTCTGCTATGGTTCTTGCTTTTTCTGAAAGTTACTTCAGTTACTGCAAGACTGCAAAATTTGCTGTGTCTCATCGTGGTGGCTTTCAGTCCATGAGGGATGACAAATGTCAGTCATAAAAGGTTTTGTGGTGAAAGGTGGGAGTTCTTACACACTGGAGTTGCTGTCACCCTTGTACAAAATGCAGTTTATGAACTCCTCTATGTGTTGCTGGCCTTCAGAAACACATAGCTGCATTGCTTTATTTGAAAGTACTTAATTTGGTAAACTTAATTAAGTTTGAAAGTACTTGATGAAAAGCTTCCTGTTTTGCATCTCAAAGTGTAGACAAAAAAACCCCAACTTTTGAGATACTCAGTTGGATCTCCACCAAAATGCCAGGCAAATTTGATAGGGATTGCTTTGTCCTGAAATAAGAGTATTATTGATTAAATTACAAAGAAATTGAGAGTAGTATACTTGACATTTCTCTCACTTATGCTGCACAATATATGTTGACCCTTTGACTAACAGAAGTCAGTCCTTTTATAAGGGAGAACATCAAAAGTGCCATTTTGTACATCTGTGCATTTTTATTTTAAGCCTGTTTGGACTCGGGAGTTCAATAGAAAACATTTTAAAGTGTTTTATTCTCTCTCTCTGTGTATTGATTGGACTTTGCAGCATTTGTTTATTCCAATAAGCCCATCTGTCCCTGACAAATGTACAGCTGTACCCCAGTGCATGCAGAGCAGACACACCAATAATGATTCGAGTTATCCCTAGCTTTTTCCCCCTCTCCTATTACTAATTCTGAGCAGGTACAATATCAATATTGCTCTTTGGTGAGGAATAAGCACATGCATAGAAGTTCACAAACAGAATCATGCAGAAGTCATTAATACTAATGGTGAAGCCCAGGAATTCACTTCAGAGTACATCTTCTGTTTACCTGGATAACTGCAAGAATTACAAATTGCAGAAAAACAAGTATTTTACCTAAAGATGTATAAGTGTACAAAAAGCCAGGAAAACTACTGCTCATTTTGAAAATATTAAACCCCTTCAGCTCCCCCGTAAAGTTATGGAATTGTTTCCTGAAGAAGCACTAGATCAGATGAGCCAATACCATTCTCTCAAAATAATGTTATGCAATTTCCTTAAATGAAACCGAAATCCCAGACTCTCTGTGCAGCATGCAAAGGCATTCTTCAGGATAATGCTGTAATACCGAAAATGGATGAGCTGTGCAAATAGTTCTGATACACTTCCTTGGTATCAGCAACTGCTGTTACACGGATTGGTACATCTGTCATTTCCCAGGTCATTTTATGAAACCAAGGGAGCACACTTCAGAGGCCACAGAGTATATGAAATAGGTTTTATTGCAAATAATTATTGAAAAGCTATTTACTAGCTGGGCTTCAGCTATATATCTTTCTGTAACTTCCTTAAAACTTCCTGGGGGAAAAATTGCTGTAGTAATATAACTTTGTTAATTGGTTGGGTTTATGTCTTCCGTGTCTGGTGGCAGGATGGATGTTTGTTTAAACACAGTATGGCTGTCCTTGCATACTAGCTTGCTGTTTTGGGCTTAATCGATGATGCTGGAGAATACCTGAATGAGCTAATAAATTGTTAATTTTTTTCTTCTCTTTTCCTCTTGCTTACTATGCTTTTGCTTCTTTTTTCTAGATGTTTTTGCTTATTCCTTCTAGTCTGATTTTGCAGTTATAGACTAAGAAGTGGCAAAAGTTCTCGAGATTAACATTCGGGAAAACAAAATAAAGCCTAAGGAGGGCTAAAGCGTGCAAGCTGCTTTCTTTACAAGAAAGAAAAGCAGAGGGATGTCTGGGACAAAGATGGGGGGAGTTTAATAAGCACATATGCAAACCTATGTAATTAATATACTGAATTTTGTATTTCTAATTATTTAATACGATATGTATATGTGCACTTGCACATATATGATAAATTAATATGTCACTTAAACCCCAGCTTGATAGCGTTATATTTTTAGAAGAAAAAGAGTGTGTATAGCATGCATTAGTAAAGTCATTCATTATTTATTCAGGTTCACTAAGTGAAACTACATGCCAACATATCTGTATTGCCTCCTTAATCTACTAGAATGATCGATCCATGTTCACTTGTGTAACCGTAGAATCTCTCTCCTGCTAGGTTATCCTGTTGTCTGTTTCTCTTTATCCAATATAGTGCAGTTCTTATTCTCCCTATATTTAGCGTCTGTAACTAATTTAATCTTTTAGATTAATAGTCGATTTACGTTAATCTTCTTTCTTTTTTCCTTGCACTTTTTTATTTTTCTTCCGATGCTTAAAATAGAAGTGGAGCAAAAAGGTAAATAACGTATACAGTCCAAACCCCAGCTCCTTGTTATGTGCCTTATGGATGTTAACCTCTTCCCTTCCCCTCCCCACAACACTCTTATATTATGATAATCAGCAGGATCTCATAAGTACACCTCATAAAGAAGTCGACTGTTTGCAATAAAGTGACTTGGCTGCTTAAAGTAGGTGGCGGGGTATAGTGTCTGAAGTACTTGGGCTGGAGGGAAGACTCCCTTGCTTTTTTCTCTCCCTTTCTCTTTGTCTTTCTTTCCCTCTCTTTCTCTCACCCTTGGGTAAATTCTTGTTAATCAAGTGTCATCTTGCCTGGCTTCCAGAACCCTCTCCATAGCATGCCATGGTTACAGGGTTTCCTGGTCTGTTTTCATTCATTGCTTTGGTTGTGTTTTGTTTTCTCGGCTCCTAATTGCTTTCTCTATATACCTGATGATTTGGTTTGTTCCTTTATTTTTAATCGAGGCCCCTCCTTTTTCAGCCTCACCACTTCTTAAAGTTCTAAACAAGTCGATGTGATTGTTTTGGACTGAAATGACCTGCACACCAGTTAAAAGCTCTGGAGCGTTAATCCGCACTCACTAAAAGTCTGAAACAAAAATGCGAGAGTAGCTCTACATTTTCAGCTGTCTGTGTATGCCATTGAGCCTTGGTCTGTACTAGTGAAAGCAGTTCCCATCCACTTTCCATACTGGTACAGCAAGAACATGGTAACTTTAAGAAAAGTGGATGATAAAGGGTGATAATTGCATTAATTATAACATAAGGTGTAATCTAGTGCCAATTAAATGGATTTTTTTTTCTTCCTGACACAGTCATTATGATTTACCTACCTTTTATTTTTTTCTTTTTTTCTTTTTTTTGGATTTTCATTGTGAGACAGTCTTAATTTGACATAATTCTTGTCTTACTTCTCTCTGTGACTGTTAGTTTTTGTTTGCCCGGGGACGTTGAAAGCAATTGTGGACTCACCGTATTTATATGAAGCTGAACAAAAAGCAGGTGCTTGGTGCAAAGACCCTCTCCAGGCTGCAGATAAAATCTACTTCATGCCCTGGACTCCGTACCGCACCGACACTCTGATAGAGTTCGCGTCTCTGGAGGACTTCCAGAACGGCCGCCAGCAGACGACGTACAAACTGCCGAACCGAGTGGATGGCACCGGCTTTGTGGTGTACGACGGCGCTGTCTTTTTCAACAAGGAGAGAACGAGGAACATAGTGAAGTTTGACTTGAGGACTAGAATTAAGAGTGGGGAGGCCATAATCAATTATGCTAATTACCACGACACGTCTCCGTACCGGTGGGGAGGAAAGACTGACATTGACTTGGCGGTGGATGAAAATGGCTTGTGGGTGATTTACGCCACGGAGCAGAACAACGGGATGATCGTGATCAGCCAGCTGAACCCCTACACCCTGCGCTTCGAGGCCACCTGGGAAACGACGTACGACAAGCGGGCGGCGTCCAACGCCTTCATGATCTGCGGGGTCCTGTACGTGGTGCGCTCGGTGTACCAGGACAACGAGAGCGAGACCGGCCGCAACGCCATCGACTACATCTACAACACCAGGCTGAGCAGGGGCGAGCACGTGGACATCCCCTTCCCCAACCAGTACCAGTACATCGCCGCCGTGGATTACAACCCCAGGGACAACCAGCTGTACGTGTGGAATAACAACTTCATCCTGAGATATTCTTTGGAGTTCGGCCCACCCGATCCTGCCCAAGGTAAGGATTTCTTTTTTTTTTTTTCTTCTCATTTTTAATCTCTTTGTGTTTCCATTCTGAGAACTATGTTAAAATATTGTTGGTCTTAGACTTAGCTCTTGGCAGAAGGGCAAGGAGGGGTTGCTTGCACCATGCTGAGCAGTGCAGCATTACGGTGGTGCAAGGCAAATTTGCAGAACCTGTGAAGAGAAATGGAATTACTTTATTTGGTTTACAGGCTCGTGCTTTTCTTTATTTCTTTTTTCTTTATTTTTTTTTTTTAATAGAAGTGTGTAGCTTTTCCGTGTTTGAGAATGAGTCGAGGAATTATTTACTTTATACCATCAGTCAGTTTGACTTCTGTAGCTGAACTGAGTGCAGGTTGGCTCCCGCTGAGCCAGAAGGCTGTTCCCATCCTCCCGGTGTTACCTGCCTCCTGAATTGATTACAGCACACACGCAGACCTTTTAACTTGTTGGCGCCAGCAGTGGAGAGCAGTGTGTGCTGGGAGGCCCCAGAGGAGATGTGTGGGGTTAATGTGCAGTACCAAGCATAAGGATTTTTCCACAGCCTTATTTTCACAGTTTCTGATGTCGGGTTAGACAAGATTATCTGACATCTTTTTAGTGGGTTTCTCAGTAGGTCCCTTGCAACTGCATTTCAGCTCACTAGAAGTTAGAACTACTGCCTAAAAGGAAAGGTACTGTCAAAAGGGGAAAGAAAAACAGGTCTTTAAGTCGCAGAAAGCCCTAAAAATGACGTGAACAGGCACAGCCACATTTTAGCATCTGCAGAGGAGAGTAAATAGCAAGAGAAATGCTCTGTGGCAGAAGATGTATGCAGCAATGAACAGAATGTTGATAAGCTGCTTTAGCAATGAAGGTAATACTTCACTTCTCTCATCTAACTGGTATGCATGTTTAGCAGCCGTTTTTTCTACTTCAAAAAAGCAGTAATAATGGCTTCTCCACATGAAAAGTAGCTGTCCTGCTTCAGCAGAGCTGATTCATGCACAGCAGTGCAAGCTCTGTAATGTGCACACCATTATATCCACGTACATACAGCTTTTCCAGGTACAAAGAGGCAGCAGAACAGGCCAGTTTGGAACCAGTACATTGGTGATCTCCAGAACCAGGTGTGATCTGCCCAGTCAGTCTCCTGCAGAGCTCCCTGGCAATGCACAGCCAGGCTCAGTGAGGTTGCAGGGGTCTGGGGGCTGAGCTGTGGCTGCACCTTGGCCAGCTTCACTGTCCCCACATCGAGCTAGTCCCTTCCTCGGGGAGGCTTTGGGGCTGCTCTCAGCAGAGATAACCACCTATGGAATTAGAAAAAAATGAAAGCTTTCATTTCCATACATTCTCATGCGTGACACTTTTCACTGGGTTTAACTGAGACGAAGGTGCATTTTGAATTCTACAAAGCTTTAAGAGTAAGGAGAAAATGGAGGTGCTGGCTCTAAGTAGCTTTTGCAGTTCAGGCAGCTGCTGTGAATGTGACAAAAGCTCATCTCTAAATCATTGCATAGGAAGAAAAGTGTAAAGGAAGAGCAGGGAGAGAAAAGGCTCTGTGGAATCCTTCCTTTGCTTTAGTAAACCTCCAATGGTCTCCAGTAAGACATTTCATAATGTTTTTATTATGTGAGAGTCTCCAAGATCTGAAGTTACAGTACATGTTGCTGGCCACATCCCAGTGAATATCAGAAACAGATTTGGGCATCCCCCTGTAGCCCTTCCTGGGTTCCTTGCTTGCATGCAAGGCAGGAGGAGAAATGGTTTATTCCAGCCAGACCTAGAGGAGAAGGCATCCAGGGCACACTGCAGGGTGTTTGCCTCTCCTCTCAGCTGTTTGCCCATTCACCCATGAAGACAGAGAAGGAATATTTGAGTGAGCTATGAGTTTGGGTTTTAAATGCATTAGGACATCAGTAAATATGTTTTGATTTTGGCCTTTTTAAAATAGAGAAGCCATATGAAGACCCTGGGTTTATTTGAATATGTGATGCATATTTTCCTTAGATAAAGCCAATACCCAATATTTTAATTTTGTATGGGTCTGTAAATAGCAGATCTAAGAATCTGTTTCAGTTCATTTCCTCTTTTGCCTAAGTCAATTGCCTGTAGTTAAAAACGACTAAATGAAAGGAAGAATTATCTAACATAATTGTCCTTGAGATGTACTACTATAAAAGCAAGAAGAAATTCTGTACAGTTTCTATTTCTGTACTTATTTCTATTATATTCCCAGTTCCTCTTTGTTTCAGCATGAAGTTTATACAAATTGAAGATCAGTCCTTCCATTGTTACACAAACATTCTGTATGTGTAATAAACATTTGGATTTTTTATCTCATGTTAGATCAGTTTTTCAGCACATTTGATAAAGGGCATTTTTGTGTTTCTTTTGTTTTGATTTGATTTGGGTTTTTTGTGGTCGACTCAGGTTTCTGAATCATCTGCTCAACAACGCAGGTGTCAGGATAACATTCTTTAAGTCTCCTACCACAAGAACCTTCTTTTAGTGTTGTTTGTAATGGTACTTTAATATCAAGTATTTAATGGTGTCACAAGGTCAGTGTCTCAAAATTGGAAGTCTTGGCCTTTTCTTTTCAAGTGGTTAACTTGGGACCATTGTGGGAAACTCAGTAATCTGTGTTACCATGGGAGAAATAATGATAGATAAGACACATACTGATTTTTGTTTTTTTCCCTATCTATCTGTCTTGGCTATCAGTTCTTGTCTGCTCCATAACATCCAGCTACAGAGTGCTTCAAAAACAACAGTCTTTCTTCCTACAAGAAAGATGAATTTGTTGTACTTGAGTTGCTCCCTTACATTTGCTCCCAGTGCCAAAACTTGGGCCTGTCCATGTCCTCAAACCTGGCTTTGTTTTCTCTGTTGTTTCTTTAATTTTTAAATCTGCCTGTTGAAACCTCTGAAGTACCACTATAATTAACCCGATGTTGACTTTGCCCTTGCTGCGAACCTGCACCGTTTTCTCCTCTTGCAACTGTCCGTGTTACCTGCTCCCTGCATCCATCCTTATTTTCTCAGTCTTCAGAACTCTTCAGATTTCTAAAACTGTTGGGTTTCTACTCTGGCAGTGGGTCTGCTGCTCTTAGAACTCCTGGCTTAACCTCATTCTTTTTATGTTTTGTGTTTATGTTGTTATGTTCTTTTTGTGTTTTTATGTTGTTTCTTCTCACTTCTCATGGAAATTATAGTACATAACTGTATCACAGAACCATGGAAAAGCCCTGAAGCTCATGGATTCAGTGTAAACCCAGCCCTGCTGAGCCCACTCCTGAGCCCTGTCCCTGAGTGCCTCGGCTGCACATCTGATGCTGAGCAAGTGCCCCAGCTGAGGTTTTCTCCAGGGGATCCTGCTGTTCCTGCAGTGCTGGTGTCTGCTGGCATTTGCAAGGTGCCTGCCAAGACAGTGCTGCACGTAAAACGTTCAGCCTCCAGCTGGTGCTCCTTTGGCATAGGTGTAGGAATGGTTTTCAGGGCTGCAGCTGACAAGCACCACTCAGGTGTTGCAGAAGAGCGTGTTTTCTAAGGTTAAGTGTAAAAAAGCATTTAAAAATCAAAACTCTAATTTAGAAATGAAGTAAAATGTATCAGGCCCTTCAAAAAGGCACTGTGAAAAATTTGAGACTAATCAGAGTTTTTATGTCCTTGGCAAATTCAGTGGATATGTCCAGGTACATTCTTTCTACAGGAGGTGGTGACGGTCCAAATGAATCCTTGATGAAATAGGAATTTTTAGAAGAATTTTAAGTTAAAAGACCTGGAAGAACGAAGGGAATTTTCCCTCTGAAAAGTGAATATGTGCATTACATTGTAAGGTTTCCTTGGTAACAAAAAGAAGATAAATCCTTTTGTTCTGTGTTAGTGTGTTAGGGAGAGATTTCATCTACATTCACCCCAATTTGTGCTAACTGTTCAAACTGAAACTGTCTCCCCTTTTGTACCATGATACCCATCATTAACTATTATTGGGTCACTGCAGGAAAATATGGATGTTGTGAGTGTGGACAGAACAGAAACTTGGAGAGTAGTATCACCAAGGGCTTGAAATAATAGAAAACTATTGCAACAGCAAGAATCTATGACAAAGTCATGCAGCAAATTGTGAAGTAAATTACACCTGTACTATTATATCAAATCTGATAGACTACAGACTGATGAAAGAGTGCTTGTACGAGTAAAGACAATGTAATGGGCACCAGACAGCACATTTCTTAACCATAGGTATTTTGCTAATTTTTTGTCATGTTTGTTATCATTTTCAGGGTGTAAATTTTTAAATGGCTGTGTAAACATTTTGCTTTCAACTAAATGGATTTGGCAGGGTCAGTAGAGTACTGGCTAGCATAATAGCTGGAACCTATAGGTAATTAGGTGAGTCTTCATGCCTTCCCTGCCATTTACTGAAGCATGAAAACAGGCACACAGCAGCAATAAACAGAAGGCAGGAAAATCGTGATTTGCACAGGTTTCTGATCTCCATGGCTGTACAGAGCAGCTCAGTAAAATTAGGGTGGGCACATAGATTTTCCTGTGTCCAAACACACTGAGATACCTGACCTATAAGAGCTTACACTGAACTGAAAAATCCGTGCAGCTGATTTCTAAAACTGCCTGGATGCCAGAGGTGAGAATGGAACCATTCGTATTTCCAGAAGTGCCACATCATCGGGGCATTTCAACACAGTTGTAAATCTGAGCTCAGAGTTGTATTTTGGGTGGGGAATTTTTTGATTTGGCTTGGTTTAGTTTTTTTAAAACTTATTTTATGCCTGCCTAGAATAGAAACCTGTTGGCAAGGAACACTAGATAACTTGTGTGCCTTGTCTAAATCTACTCCTCACTGTCAGTTGGGAAAAGAAAGTTACTATTCCCCTGCTGTCCTAGGCAGTTGTGTTATGGTTTTTATAGGCATCACACTCTTAAACAGGTGTTAAGTTTTACTCCAGTGGTGTCTTCATTTTTAGTAACAGATAGCATGCATAACTGTTTAAATCAGCTGTTAGGAGCTGCATGAAACAAATGTGAATTAATTACTTTCAATTTGAGTCTTTGGATGTGCTTCCTATTGCTCTTCAGCTGATAGTAAGACACACCTATTCTTAAAAAAAAAAAAAAAAAAGGATGAGGCATAAGAGGTTTTGGTTTTCTCCTCAGCATGTCAAGCCTGGTCAAAAAGTCCAAAATAGAATCTTGCGTTGTAAAAGTGGCTTTTTTGGAGTTGGGCAAAAATTATGCATCTTCAGCCTTGTGGAGACTCAGCCCTGCTGCTCAGAACAATAGGTTCATAACCTCGATATGGAGTTATTAGTTTGTTATTCTTCTTAGTTGTGGCATGTTAAACATCACTGCCAGTGGCTGGTATTGGCAAAGTCCATTGGCAGGAGCCCCCAGGTGCCACCACTCTCAGCTTTCAGAAGGAGACACGTGGGGTGGTGGCAGCTGTCACGTGTCCCCCTGCAGCTCAGGAGAATGGCCTCGCACATCTAAGTTCCCACAGGTCACTGAAAACAAAATGACCTGCCCTCTAAAAGCTAGATGTATTCCTTGAAGTGATGCCTTCAGTTGTTTCTTATTTTTTCAACCATCTTTTTTTCCCAGACTTCCAGCGCTGTCTGAAGTTTCCTGATACATTCTTAAATATGCTGACTTCTCCTTTTTTTAAATTTAATTCAAGAGAAAGTCTCTTAGAAGTTATCTGTAATTTTTTCAGGGTTTTTTTGAGAGAGGTGGTTTGAAGTCTTTCTCCTAAAACGTGAGATTAAAAATATATTTCTAAGTATGTAGTACTGCTATGCTATGCAGGTCATTTTTGAATCGTAGGTGATAGGCTTTGAAATTGGTTTTAATGGATAGCCATGAACATTGTTCTACCTAAAGGTGCATAATGACAGTGGGATTATATTAGCTCAGGGCACAACAGAAAATAAGTTCTGACAATTTTTACCTCACTCCAGAACTTCAGAATGTTGTTATGAATTCTGACAGTGGTATTCCTGAGACAAAACTGTCCTAAACATTATAGGGTTTGAGCTGTAATCGCAGTAATGCTAATACACATTGCAGTGATTAAATATGTACTAATTAGCACCATGTACTTGGGGGATGGATAGAAATAATTGGTTGTCCCTGCATCATTCTCCATCCCCACCATCTCCCCGTTCCCCAGGACCTGATTCAGCACTGCCTGACACTTGTGCAAGTGGTTGCAAATGCTTTTGACAAATGTTAATTGGGAGAGCACTGGAAGGCTGGATGCATTGTCATCAAAAGGAAAATAGAGCAGTTTCACAAGATGTCAGGCAAGCACTTGCAGAACAGATCTGAGGATTTCAGGAGGAGCTGGCTACACCACGAGTTCAGCACAATTACACAGGCTGTGTTCAAGCAGCCAAGAACAAGACTGAAAAGAAGACAGGCTCTCTGGAGAAGTTTCTCATTTGTGAGCAGGAGAGGGATGAAAAGCACATCTTTGACTTTACTCTTTAAAAACTCCACTCTAAATTCATGTGAAAATAAAAAGATAAATTACTGTGTAAGACCTCTAATATGTTATAACTGAAACATAATTGAAAAAGGGTTTTGAAAAAGGCTTTTTAACTGCCAAACTACTGAAAGTTAATATTATTCAAAACACTAACTCATAAAGTAACTGCTGGAAGAAAGTGAGACAGCTCTTCTTTTGTTTTTATTTCATGATTTAATTTAGAGAAGCTGCATTGTCCAGTAACTCAGAGTTCAAGGGCCTAGCAGAAGAAGAAAAAAAAAAAGAAAAAAGACAAAATTATTTTATATGAGCTTATTTATTCTCAGCACAAGGAATCTGTGCTTTCATGTGCCTGTAAAGCATTGTGAACACTAATGAAGATTTGGAAATAATGAGTGGTAACTGGCTGCACATCCTGGGCAGAAGGGATGTGTCCTGATCCAGTCCTGGGCTTTTGTGCAAGATGAAACTAGGTCCTTGCCCAGCTTACAGGAGTTGTGTCTTCATACCTGCTTTATCAAAAGAGGGTGTTAAGGCCCCAGATGCTCACAGAGGAGAACACCGTGTACGTGCTGTGTTTGGAGCTAACGGGGCGTGCTGCAGCTCTCTGGAGCAGAATGACTGCTGGGTGGGAAGATGTTATCATAATTATGGCCCTGGAAAGGTGTGTGCTGGGTGACTTGAAGTTTTGGGGGCTGTTTTTTAAAAATGGTCTCGTTAGTTCCAGCCCACTGCCTTTGCTGTTGAAGCTGGCCTGCATTGTTTACGGCACACTGCTTCAAATGAGTCTGTCTGTCAAGGTGTTCCTGCTGCAGAAGTGATTAAGTCATCTTTAATTGCTTTGAGCGTGTTTGTTATGTGCTGATAACTTGCTAGGACTGCCTTTCAGCCTTTAGAAATGTAACTATCAATTTTTATTACGGAAGAGATTATTTGGAGAATGTGCTGAAACGTCACACCAGAATGGGTTGGGGGTAAAAAAAAAAGAAGTCAGTCGGTTATGTCTTAAGCACCCAGAATAGCAATGAGAGTAATGTTAAGATAAAGGAAAGGAGACTCCAGAGAATCCTTTAAAGCTACATAAATAACTTTCAAATAACTTTTTTTATATATATAATTCTAAGTCATTTACTTTATTATTGCTCTAATTTTCCCTGTGCAGTGCCTACCACAGCAGTGACAATAACTTCTTCAGCAGAGCTGTACAAAACCACAGTGTCAACCACTAGCACCACGTCCCAGAAGGGTCCCATAAGCACAACGCTAGCTGGAGGAACAAAGGAAGGAAGCAAAGGACCCAGACCACCGCCACCCGTTTCCACAACCAAAATTCCTCCCGTGACAAGTTTTTTCCCTTTGCCAGAGAGATTCTGTGAACCGACTGAGGCCAGGGGGATTAGCTGGCCTCAGACACAACGAGGAATGATGGTTGAACGCCCTTGCCCCAAAGGAACACGAGGTACTGCCTTTAAAAATGTATCTTGATTTCAAGCAGATATTTCGAAACCGATGGGCAGCTCTCTCGGGATGAACATTTTTTTTAATCTCAGGCTGTTTGTCACATGACTTTTTGGTTACTTGGAGAGTGCAGTCTCTACTGGCAGCAGTCAGTGGTCAATCTGCAAACGTCATTTGAGCGTAGCCGCAGAATTACCTTGTGCTTGCACTTTTGAGAATCCAGGTCAAATTTTAGGGCAGTGCTTGAGGACTGTTGTGAAATACGCTTACAGCTGCCTTTCTCATTATTAGCTCCCCTCTGGATGAGCTCCAGGAAAAATCAAGGGCTTTTTGTTTGTTTGCAGAAAACGTCTGGTACTTTTCACTGACCTTTTTCGTTGCTCTTTGTAATCGACGTTATTTCCTTTCGTTTTTGTCAATTATTGTCAACTACTACCATTTAGCAGCATTCAGAATTTAGCATTGTTTAGGAGCACAGTGTAGCCAATTTCCTGAATGCGCGCAGAAAAATGGTTTCCCTTTCACTGTAGTTTTCTACATCTGTTGTAGGAACTGCCTCGTATCTCTGCGTGGTCTTAACGGGAATGTGGAACCCCAAAGGCCCTGATCTTAGCAACTGTACCTCACACTGGGTAAATCAGCTGGCTCAGAAGGTTGGTTGAAACCTTTTAATCTGGTGTACGCTGGTGATTAAAGATTTTAACTCTGAGCATTAATAATTCAGTTTGTTGAAGCTGTGTTTGTTACTCTGTGTTCTTTTAAAGCAGAAGGAGTTGTGTGTGCTCCAAGTGCAGAGCACTGACCAGCAGTTGGGTTCATGTGCATGTTTTGGTGTGCCCTCCCTCTGAGTTCTGTAATTGAATCTGTGATTACACATTCTCATCACTATTGAAAACAAAGTAGCTTTGCTGATGTTCAAAAACCAAACGCAATGTTTGCTTGATAAATCAAATACTGTAAGTCAAACAGCAAAACCTGTGGTATGCAGCAAGGGGTTTTGTTCAGTCAAAATTACACTGTAATGAATAGATTTTTGTCTGAGTGCATTGATAACAGTATGATTAGAGTGCAGAACCACTTTCTGTGTTTTCCCTCCCTACTGAGATTTACAAAGTTTCTAAAAACTGAATAATTTGTTGTCAATACCAAGCTACTTGACTTTTGAATGCCTCAAGCACGGGTATGAACAAATAGATTTCTTACTGTCTGATAATGGCAGTAAAATAAAAGTGAGGATGAATAGCAGATCTAGCCCAGAAGTCCCAGTCAGATTTCTGGTTTTGATGGCTGTTAAGAACTGCTTTTGTGTGTCATGGATCTAAGAACCTTTAATCTTCTGAGATAAAGAGAACGTTATTGGTCTCAATTAGTTACAGATTTCAATGTATGTGCAAATGGTTATTTCACCACAACAAAGGTACACAGGGAATTGGAATTAGGAGCCTCAAGCAGAACAAGGGACCCTGCTGAGATAATATAAATTGTCATTTCAGATCAGAAGTGGGGAAAATGCTGCTAGTCTGGCCAATGAACTGGCTAAACACACCAAAGGCCCAGTGTTTGCTGGCGATGTGAGTTCCTCAGTGAGGCTGATGGAACAGCTCGTGGACATTTTGGATGCTCAACTTCAGGAACTACGGCCCAGTGAAAAGGACTCTGCTGGAAGGAGTTATAACAAGGTACACACCTCCCATCACCTCCTCCTGCTGGGATAACCATTGCCCTTGGGCTTTGTGTTCTTTTCCTTTCAGAAATATTAATCTGTACTTTGCTCCTGCGTGCGCGTGGTTCTGGAATAAGCATATGAGGGAAAACAGCAGTAAATACACGGCAGAAAGTTGCAATTACCTTCTTTAGGGAATAAGATATAATTCACAATAGCTGACTGGTCCTAAAATACATAGCTGTGTCCCGTATTAAAATCTGGAATGCATTATAACTAGTGTGAGGGAAATGAGTATCAGCTCTCAGAAATTCTGTAACAAGTCAGCGTGTTTATCCAGTGATCCTTTTAACCCTGAACGTGTAATAAAATCAGTGGGATTCTGCATAGATGCAGGGTTTTATTTTGATCTGACTTTCTGCAGAATAATAGCACCTTCTTAGCCTTTTAAAGACACCGTCATGACTTAAAATTGATCTTTATAAAAATGCTTTCATACACATGTCTAAAACATATCTAAATTCATGTTTTCTCTGGCGTGATGTTCCAAGAAACATTGCAGAGAAAATGTATGTCTTTGTGGTTTAAATGGAAATTGCAAGTGTTGTTACCTTTCCTCTTTTTCTCAGAGGAAATGCTGTGTTTCTCAGCCTCTGCCTTGTGTCAGCAGAGTCAGCAACCCACAAACGAAGTTTTTTTTCACCCTCCTTTAGAGAGAGATGCACTCCCCTGTTATTTTGGCAATAGTTTTATTTACAGTTCCTAGCTGCCCTCAAAACAGTTTTCCCAGAGACAGATCAAGTGCCCACACAGGGATTTCCTCCTTTGGCCTTTTCATACAAATCCCACTCTTTGGACAAAAGGTATCTGGACACCCGTGTAAGGGTTGCTGTGCTGGTTCTGGCTAGGATGGAGTTAATGTTCTCCACAGTGGCTACTATGGGGCTGTGCCTTGGGTTTGTGGTGAACACCTGCTGATAATGCAGAGATGTTTTGTTTTTGCTGGGCAGCCCTTGCACAGCCCTGTTCTCACACTGCCATGCTGGCAGGGAGGTTGGGGGTGCGTGGGAAACTGGGAGGGGACACCCCAGGACAGCTGAGCCCAGCTCACCAAAGGGATGTTCCATCCCCTGTGGCATCCTGCTCCGGATGTAAAGCTGCTGGGGATTAGGAAGGAGAGGGGGACATCAGGAGTTGTGGTGTTTGTCTTCCCCCATGACAGTTGTGATGGAGCCCAGCTTTCCTGGGCTGGCTGAACACCTGCCTGCCCCTGGGAAGCAGTGAATTCCTTGGTTTGCTCTGCTTGCATGCCTGGCTTTTGTTTTACCTGTTGAACTGCCTTTATCTCAACTCGTGAGTTTTCTCACTCCTACCCTTGTGATTCTTCCCCCCACGGTGCTGGTGAGGGAATGACGAGGACTGTGTGGGACTTGCCAGCTGGGCTTAAACAACAGTTGGGGAAAAATGTTTCCTGTGTGATGTTTTTTTTGTAGTCATTGTGGACAGAAACTAGGTTACTGTCCAGGCTGTAGTTCAAAACCGCGATTTGAAAAAACAGAGTATTTTTTTTTCCTATTTCTGAAGCTTTCCAGAATCTGTCTAACTTCTGATTTTTTTTTTCCTTACTAAAAAGCTCCAAAAACGAGAGAAGACATGCAGGGCTTACCTTAAGGTATCTCTCCTGTGCTGTCACCCTGCTTTCTCCCTGCTTCAGCAACCTGCCACGCTTTATCATCTTGCTGCATGATCCTATGTATTTCAGTCTTTGATAAATGTGTATTGTGCCCCATATCAACTTTACAAATGTTGGCTTTGCACAGGTATAACACTCAGAAAAAAAAAATTACCATCAAAGTTTATACGTCTTTTACCTCAACTTGTTTGAAACAAAAAGAGCAGAAAGGGTTATTTTCTGAATTGGAAATAACATGTATCTCATAATAAAACCTTGGGTAGGGGAAAAAGCTGGCAATTTAAAGAAATTACTTCATCTTGGTAGAATTTTATATCAAAGACTGTTTGGAGTTAATTTGCTTGTGTGAAAAATGTACTTTATATAGCTTGCTTTGTTCTTTGTGTATCCTTATACCTAGTAAAATCACTCTTTCTTACAGTTTCAAGAATTGTTACAATTCAATGACTTCAGGATAAAATGCAAAGACAAACATTTCTGTAACTTCACAAGTAAAATGTCTGCCATGTGTCCCATTAACCAGGCTCTATGGAAGGCATGTCACACCTTGCTCCCTAATTTCCAGTTCCTTTCATCAGCTGTAGAATGGTTGTCTGTACTGGCCAACTCCTCTGCTGTATGGTGCCAGTAATGCCACTTTGCCCCTGTGAAGGAGAGAAAACAGCCCTGGAACACATACATGTGTCTGGCTCTGAAAAATTTTATTGCACATTTTTTTTCAAAACTTCTAAAATACTGATTTTTTACTTGTACCCTTTGAGGTGAAATATAAGAATGATTTTTGAAAAGAACTTTGAAATACTTTGCAACATAATAAAATTAATTAAGATTCTTATTGAAGAGAGATTTCTCTGTACAGGGCACTTCTGTCTTTTATCCTAAAGCCCTGGAAGTGGATGGGAGATGTCCAGTTGTGCAGAAATTTGACAAAAAGAGGCAAAGATCTGGAGAGAAATTAGCTTCTCAAATAATAATAATAATTGTAATAGTTTTTTGTTAGAAAATATTTTTTAATACTAAAGGGAAATGCAGCAGATGTGGTTTGAGTGGAGTGGATTTGTGTGGTTCCCTTTCATTAGTAAATGGGATCATGAGAAGAGCTGTGTCACAGGGGCCAGGGGGTCTTTCCCACCATCCACTTGCCTCTGTCTGAGAGGAGAAGCACCTCAGAAATATTACTGGGCAGGTGATCATTTTCCACAAGAAAAACGCAGGGTTAGGTTACGCCCTAATAAATAAAATCGTATCACATTAACGAACGCCCCCGTCAGCACAGTGTGGTGATACATGAGAATCCCCAGCACAACCTGCATTTCCAAACGGTGTCATTTTCTGTAGGTCTCAAATGGGCTTCTCTGCTTAGATAAGACTAATAAACCTCTTGAAATTACAAATCAAAAGCTGACTTACACTATGCAAATGAAGCAAGTTCCCACTTTGTGACAGAGGATTCATTTGTACCTCAGATTAGAGGCTCCAATCTGTATTTCTTGGTGACTAATGAATCTGGCCTCTGCAGACCAATTTCTGTTCCACTCTAGTTAATGGCTGCAGCAGGATCAGTGTGAGCATTTTGACTATTCTGTCTCCCATTAGAGGAAGAAAAAAGGCTTTAATGCCACTTCGAAGTATCTTCCACCTGCCAGGAAGGTCATGGTGGCTCACAGTGCAGGCAGAAAGAGGATATTAAAATGGATTAGGCTAATTAATCTTGCTCTGACAATAGCCTTGACCAACTTTTTGTATTCGTTTGTTTGCACGATGTGGTATTTCCAGACCGACATCTTTCTGTTTGTACAATGTCTTCTGTTTCCATTTCCAGTGCTTTTAAATTGATCAAACAAATTATATATATGCTTAATGACACATTATGAGTAGGTAAATGGGACAGAGTAAACAGGGTGTTCTAGCAATGCATGGTGTACTCAATGCACAGCTACATTATGCATTAATGTAAAAGCCTGCCTTCAATTGATTAACTGATTACTCTGATTGGATTATTTTGTAAAAATAATGTAATCATGTCACTGAATTATTCTTCTTCCTTCTTTATTGTTACTTTATATGCAGCTTAACGAACCTTAAAACGTGATAGAGTTGTTACAAGTAAAACTTTCTAAAGTGGCAGTTTTTTTCGGCTTTCCAGTTTTGCCTTCCCCGATAACAGGCACAGTCAGTGGACATCTTGTTTGCTCTATTGATTTCCTTTTCTGACTGACCTTTGTGCAGGAATGGGAGCTGGTAATCTTTTTAAGTATCTATGAACAGGTACAGGAACAGGAGGGGGAGTGAGAGTGGCCAGGGCTAATTTATATCCACTGAGTCAGCTTCATTGCATGCCTCCTGTAATAAAGGAGGCAGTTTGTCATAGACAAGTAGTTTATAGTGCTGGGGCTGCATTAGCTGGCCTCAGTTTCCAGAGGAGGAGTATTGTCATTTTAACTAAACTGCAGAATGCTAATTTTGGCATTAGTATTTTTAAATAGAAGTTATACGTTTTGACATTAACTTTAAGATGAAAGCTCCAGGCAAAACTTCTGGCATTTATTTTTACTTTTTTTCAGCACATTAATAATACCATCTTTATATCTGGCACAAAACAAGTCAAATCTGCATGTTTACCACTTAGAGACCACACAGTGCTAGTGGCTAACTGCCCTTCTATTCATGCTAATCCAACGAGAGGATGGAAAATATTTTACTGTTGAAAATTGTGTTCTAGTGCCATTAAATCACAGTAAATCATTCTGACAGTTAAGTATTATAATTGTCACCAGATAACATTGGAAATATTCCCCAGCTGCCTAGGGCAATCAGACCTAATGATAGTTTTGTAATGAATGCAGGCAATTGTGGATACAGTGGACAACCTGCTCAGGCCTGAAGCTCTGGAGTCCTGGAAGGACATGAATTCTTCAGAGCAAGCCCATGCAGCCACAATGTTACTTGATACATTAGAAGAAGGGGCTTTTGTTTTGGCTGATAATCTTCTAGAACCAACCAGAGTCTCAATGCCCACAGAAAACATCGGTAAGTAAACTTCTTTTCTAGCAGAAATTCAAGTGCTCTGCGTTGCTTTTACAAAATGAGGAAAAAATACTCCAGACAGCAACATAACCCTCTGAAGCTGAGCTGCACAACATTTAGTGGAAAAGGGAATGCTCCACAGTGACGTTCTTCTTCAGTGTCATTAATACAGTATAAAATGGAAAGTAGTTGATGTTGCAAAGTTGATTTACCAGTGAAAAATCATTAGCAGAACGCATGGATGTGAAGAGTGCTTAAATGGCAGAGTATGGATTTTTTTAGGTAACTGCTTTCTGTAGAGCTGCAGAAAATGCTTTTCTGTTATATATAAAATGTTCCTAATGAATTCAAATTACTTTTTTTGCAACGTACTGTGCCAGTTAAATATTTTAGGTAGTCAGAACATAGGCCAAATGTTTATAATAAACATGACTGCCTTCAGGTAAAAATGTGTTCAGTGAACTACATCTCCCATAATGCAGAATAGCTGTGCTTCGGGGACTGCAAAGCAGCTGAAGATAGTTGGAGCCTAATTTAGAATTTGAGTGGTGACAGAGAAATGAAGGGGTTTGGTATTAGAGATGTGCAAATATTGTTACGCAGGATGTGCTAAAGCAAAAATCATTGCTATGCATAAAATTAAAATTCCTTCGACTTATTACAGAGATTAATGTTGTCTCAGTGAGGTACGAGGAACCTGAAAGTCTGCTAATATGCAGAGTACCGAGACAGAGACTTGGAGGAGGGTGCAGAAATTAGACTTTTCACGTTTCGGTGTCTGCATATTTGTAACTGTAGAAGATGACTCTGCCTAGTTTTTAATTGAGTAGGAGGATACTGGGAAAGGATGGGGAAGGGTTTTACAGTCCCTTATCTGAGCTGTCTTCGAGTCACAGTAACACATCACCAGCACCATGCAGGACATACACATGTATGGCCTGGAGAAAGAGAAGTCATTCCCTAATTTCACACCTTTTGTCAGTCTAGTTCACACCTGTAGTTAGACCAGTTTAATATAACACACATTTTGTCACCCAGTTGTCCACTCTCACCTATACGATTTTATCCATCCAAAGGAATCCAGTGTTTGATGGCAATCCCACAAAAGTTTCCCAATATACAGTGTGTTATAAAAGTAATACCTAAGTACAGTCAAGTGGCATCTGATTTTTCATTTTGTTTTTTAGCAGAACTAATAAAATGGTTTCCTATAAACCTTTATACGGAATTACATTTAGGAAAAAAATTAGAAATTATTTTTAGCTATGAATACTGATTTTGCTAGATGCACAGCTTAACTATTCTTAGGTATTCTTTGCTGACTCTTTAAAAAACTCTTTATATCTAAATCAATACTTAAAGTTCTAAATTTGTCAGCAGGAGATACTGCATAGACATTAGGATCTTCAAAACCAGCATTTTTCTGCGATGTGTGTGTGGTATTTTGAAGTGGATGTTTTGGGGGCACAAACTAGGAGGAGGTTTGATATCGTGTTATCACTATTAAAGTGCTGTCATTTTAGCAGTGTGCACTAGATTTAGTTAAAGAAGCTAGCTGTGTGTGATTGAAACATGCAGTACAAATCTGCCTTACAGACAGCAGTGTGAGAAAACTAAATAAAGAGTGGGGGGAAAGATTGTCATCTGGCATATTGCAATCTGGCCAAGAGACTTTCTCTGCATTCTCCTTTTCTGACACTTTTTTTTTTTTTTCCTCCTCCTCTGGTCTGCTCAGTTTTGGATGTTGCAGTGCTCATTACTGAGGGCCAGGTGCAGGACTTGAAATTTCCTCAGGGCAGTAAAGGAGGCAACTCGATTCAGCTCTCGGCGAGCACCGTGAAGCAGAACAGCAGGAACGGTGAGTCCTGGGCACGGAGCACTGAAACCCCATTAACTTCTGCACAGCCTGCTTACCTCCCCTGGTTAAAATATCCAAACAAAGCACAACAAAACCGCTCTGTGGCGTTTTCTCAAAGACCGGGAGCGCCTGGTCGTTGTTCTTCAAATCCACAGCCTAAAAAAGCCTCTCTGTTTACCGGTGCTTGATCGGCGGTTCACTGGAGTACAGGTTGCCGCCTCTCTGTGGGACTCCGTGGCACGATGATGGGATTCCTTGTCTTTTGTAGGATCAGCAAAGCTGGTTTTCATCATCTACAAAAGCCTGGGCCGTTTCCTCAGCACCGAGAACGCCACCATAAAGCTGGGCAGCGACCTGGCCGGGCGGAACAGCACCATCGCCGTCAACTCGCACGTCATCGCCGCCTCCATCAACAAGGAGTCGAGCCGGGTGTACCTCACCGACCCCGTGCACTTCACACTGGAGCACATCGACGTGAGTCACGCTAATGAGTTAATGGGAAGGTCATAAAAGCAGCAAGGGAGAAAAGCCATGCGGGAAAAACAACCCTTTTTTTTTTCCATTTGAATTTTAAATGTTGGACTGGGTCGGAGACGCAAGTCGAGTTAAGTCTGTGAACATAAAATTAAATGAGCCTGGTTCAGTGATTATTAGAACTTAAGTGTATTCTTAATGAAAGCTAATTCAGTAATCAGCATGAAAATGTAAATGACTAATTTGTTTCTAACTGAAAATTAACTCTTACCTTAGTAGCAGGGTTGAAAATAACTGTTAAGATTCTTGATAGCCTGATGTAACAATTTTTATTGACACTTTTGACTTTCAACATTACTTTTGGACCACGTTATGGATGCCTATTCAAATTCTTGAAATTGCATTTATTCAGTGAAGAATAAAGTACGATCTCTTGGTTTGTTATACTTTAAATTTACGTTTATTTTCTTCATGGCATTTTATTTGATGTGTTTCTTTGCTCGTAACTTTGGCCCTTTCTGTTTTCATGTCTCACATGGGGAAAGTAAATAATCACTACTGTGATGGAGAAGATATGGTTGGATTTTCCTCTCAATTTGCCTCCTTTTATAAATCTGTTTTGATTGTTTTTCATCAAAATAGATAGGCATTGAGGAGTGAACTTTTTCCTGATATCTGTTCACATGACTTCGACCTGTCCAAAGGTGACAATCAAAAGAAAAAGACCCTGTTTTCGAGTTGTCAGTTACAGGAAAAATATCTTCAGAATATAAATTCACAGTCCTAATTTTCCAGAAAGCAAGAATGACTATAATGTACCATCCATGCATAAAATCGTAAGATGGAAATTGTAATTGTTTAAAATTGAGTCTACAGTAATTGAGACTACACTTTAGAGTGCTTCGGACTATAAAGTCCCTTTTAAACTGGATGTCTTCCTTGTGCAACACAGTCCACAGTTTTGCTGATGAAAAACTTTATTGTCCGAAACATGCAAAGTTTAATCTAAATTACCCTTTACACGTATTAAACGATTGTTATTGCCATCTTAGTCTGTAAAATCCTCATTTCGTGTTATCCTTTTATCTCCCAGCCTGACAATTATTTCAATGCAAATTGCTCCTTCTGGAACTACTCAGAGAGGACTATGATGGGGTACTGGTCAACGCAAGGCTGCAAACTGGTTGACACAAATAAAACTCACACGACGTGTGCTTGCAGTCACCTGACCAACTTTGCAATTCTTATGGCTCGTCGGGAGATTGTGGTAGGTAATGATGTTTCCAGCCACAGGCAGGGAACAAACTTAAAAGATTTAGCTTTAAATTGTCAGCAAGATCCAAAATTGCTGAAGTTTCTTTAGTATTTATAGCTCCTATCCACTCTTCCAAAAGCACTTTGCTTTCTGTAGCACTTTTCTTCCTCATCCATGAAGTTACAAGTAAAATAACAGCAAGAGAATGAAAGGAAGGAGAAGAGTTTTCTGCAAGTCATATTTTAAAGTTCCTGACCAACCGTACAACCATTTTAAAGACCTCCCCCAGTCCAGATGGAAAGTGTCTGCAGAGACAGCTGTGCAGGCTGTTCCCTGGAAGCACAAGTGCCAGCTCTCCTTGGAGAGGAAGGTCAAGGAGCTTCCACACTGCTTGTTTAGGTGCCTGTTCATACTCAGAAATGTTGTTGTCTATATAAAGCAGTTACTGGATGTCAGGGGCCCAGAGCATACAATATTTGCAGGGATATGGGACTTCTCATACAGCCACTGCATTGGAAAAGGCTGCTGCAAAGACAACCACGGGGACAGAAGTGATTCTGTCCTAGCTGAAGCAAGGAACCTTCTTTAGCTGGATGTGAGATTGAAGCCAGAATTACACCTGTAGCATATTCTGCCTTTTATCCTGATCAGTGTGGTTTTGTACATTGCTTTCTTCTGTGCTGTGGAGTTGCAGGTCTGTAGGAAAGAACATGTACTCTTACAGTAGGTCCCAGGGAAAGCTCTCCCTTCTCTTTGCATCAGAGCCGAGTGACTCTTTAAAAATGTGGTGTCTGCTGTATTTCTGACCAGTTTACAGGGAGACATAGGAAAAGTAAAAATGCTATCTGGTTTGGATAAAATAGTCACATTTTTCTCTCAGACCTGCTCCTTTTCTACTTGGCCTAATCCTGTTTTTCTGAGAAGCTGACCTGAGACTGAGATGTTACTGAGTACATTTTGCCCATCTCATGTAATAAACAAGTGACTTTTCTGGATGCTACCTGTGAAAATAGGTTTTTGTTTATACTCATGAAGAGTCATGTTAATTTTCTCCATTCTCGGTTATTTCTAGTACAAAGATGGAGTGCACGAATTGCTCCTCACTGTCATCACCTGGGTGGGAATTGTCATCTCTCTTGTTTGCCTGGCCATCTGCATCTTCACATTCTGTTTTTTCCGTGGCCTGCAAAGCGATCGTAACACTATTCACAAGAACCTTTGTATCAACCTATTCATTGCTGAGTTCATTTTCCTAATAGGCATCGATAAGACGGAGTACAAGGTAAGTTCTCTCTGTGTGTACTGATCTTGTTCTCTGAAATGACTGTTTGAAATGGATTTGAATTAAAACATGACAACACTGACAAGTTTTCAGTGTTCTGACACAGCAAGGCTGAAATAAAAGCTCAGTGTGAAAATAAGACAGACGTACTCATAAACAGTATTTACATCCAGCCAAAATATGCTTTTCCTTTTCACTTGAGAAACTCTGACTGTTAATGAAGCAGGTAGTTAGACTTTTGAAAAAGGAGATGAAATTAAATGTTGACATATTAGGAACACATATGTTTTCTCTATTAATATGTCTTAACAGCTATTGACTTTTTTTATGTATATATATTAGCACAGAGCCTTTTGTGTACATTTACAGATGTTTTACACTGCACACTCATGCAGGTATTCTGGCAGTATTGGTGAAAATATTTCTGAAGCGATACATTGGGTTGAAGTTTACTAATTCAGTATAGTTTCATCCAGAATTTAGCCAATGGGGAGAGAATTCAGATTGATTTCTGTTACAACAGTGGAAATTTCCAAATTACAGCAGATAAAAATCTGTGGGCAGCCACTTCATAATTTTAAATAAGCAATATCACATTATGCATCTAGAACCAACTGCTCATGTCAACAGCCAAGTCCTAAAACCATATCAGTTTCAAAATCAAAGAGTTGCTTATAAAATTGGAAAGTCCACTGCATAATTGATGACTGGTGGGTGAGGGTGCATTTCCTTATTTCCATTCACACTGTTCAGCCGATTTACTCTCTGTAGCTCCTGAACACACAGTAGTAGTTTCAAATGTCCAGCCTATGTTTTCAGGTAGGGAAATTGCTCCTGAGTTTGTGAAAGATTTCTTATAGAAGCATATGCAGTTCTATTGCACACTTTTTAATTGGAGGGGCAATGATGTGGAGGTTTTGTGGTTTATATTCCCATCTCTCTCTTTCTTTGCAGATTGCATGTCCGATATTTGCAGGTCTCTTACACTTTTTCTTCCTGGCAGCCTTTGCCTGGATGTGTCTAGAAGGAGTGCAGCTTTATCTAATGTTAGTAGAAGTATTTGAAAGTGAATATTCTAGAAAGAAGTACTATTATGTTGCTGGCTACCTCTTCCCTGCTACAGTAGTTGGTGTCTCAGCAGCTATTGACTACAAGAGCTACGGAACAGAGAAAGCGTAAGTAATTGCAAGTGACCTGAGTGTTTTTCAAGTGAATAAGTTTTTAAAGCCTATTAGCTGTCAGAGGGACCCTGACAGACTAAAATACCATCTGAAAGCTTTATTGGTAAGAGAATGGCGATGCTGTGCACAAATTACAATCAAGTCTTTTGTAATTCTCGAGGTTCAGGGGATTTGTACTCTGGAGAGACCGATTCTAAATTATGGTCTTTCTTTTAACACAAAAGATTGACCTGAAACAAATTGAAAAAGTAAATAACTTTTTGTCCTCAAATGTATATTAAGTAAAATTTCTCAAAGTATCTGACAAGCCTAACCACCCAGTTTTAAGCTAATGCTTCATTAGATGTCTTTGTTCAGCTGCCCCTCTAGCTAGCTCTCATCCTGAATTATGACAGTACAATATTCCAACCCATATGTTTTATTTTGATAATATTTTATCAGGCGAGTAGAGTGGGATTAAAATTTAGCCACTGCCTTTTATTTACAAAAATACAGATATATATAGGAAGTGACAGAAGGTAGACAGAAAACATTTCTGAGGATCTGAGTTGCTGGAGGCATGAATTTGCCTTTCAGGAGTGTTTATTTTGTCCTTTGATAAAATTAGTTACAGAATGGGAAGATACTGTTGACTACAAGAAAGCTGCTTGATTTTGCTACTGATGAAAGACAAATAAGAGCAATTCATCAGGGAACTGGGCTGTATGAAAAATGAATTGCTAAGTGAAGTTGGCCCTAATAGGTTTACACGTCATTTAGTCTGGTATCTTATGTATTCCTTCTCTACTGTTCAACTCCCAGATGGGGCATTTTATTTATACCATATTGTTTCTCAGCAAAACGTGGCATCTGAACGTTTTCTGTCTCATATTCCTCAGGAGTGAGCACTTCACATGTGATATAAAGTTAAAAGCAGATTTTGAAGGTTACATGGGAAGCCTGTAAAAAATCCTTACTGATGTTGGTTCATTAGTCCGTGATAGCACCTGTCACCAAAACTGACTGCAAGGAGAGAGCTCCTTTTGGTTTTCTTTCTCCTTATACATTACCTGTTCCTGAGGATGTAGTTTCAGGTTCAGTAGTGTTATTGCACAGGGCTCATCAGAAGAGTTTCAGGTTAGGAATTGTCCATGGATTAAGTGGTACTGTGCAATGTTTATCATTTTTTATTGGCAAAATGTTCAGTTAAGAAGTATTTTTGCACTTTGCATTTACTGGATGGAGGTGCTAATGCAGCTGTTCACTTTTCATTCTTTTTTTCCATCATAGTTGCTGGCTCCATGTAGATAACTATTTTATCTGGAGTTTCATTGGACCTGTTACCTTTATTATTCTGGTAAGAACTTTGTTTCTTCCTTTCCTTTTAGGTTGCCTCACAGCAAAGTTAATACTGTCCTTATTCACAAGACATTTCATGAAAATGCTTATAAACAATTTGTAGTGTGACCAATGGTTATATAAATATTTAGAAAGTTTTAGAGAGTGCTGACCAAATGATTAATTGTCAGAGCTGTGGTGGCACTTCAGCACAGCCATTTTTTTCCTAATGGCTGGAAATCTGAAGGTCGTATTGACATGTGTTGTCATATGAAAAATGAATGAAGTACTAAACACAGGGTTTTTTAAAAAGGAACCATTGTTATTGCTTTCAATTGAGTCAGTTCTGTACACATTCCAGAATTTAACTGCTAATTATCCAGCATAATTACCTCAAAAGGGTATTCTAACGCACTGGATAATTAAATAAATCTTATATTCCATTTCCTTGTTTTTCTCTGCTAGTTCTGTATCTTTAAAGCCTGGCTGTACTTGGGAAATATTGCAGAAGGCTGGTGCTGGGGACACAGCCTATATACACAGAGAGCTTTTCCCATCATTGCTGATAGTTTGGAAGGATGAATTAATTTGTTTTCATGCCCTTGAAAGTTCAAATAGATGCTTGTTTTCCTGCCCTTACACAGTAGGAGAGTTGTGAAATGTTGACAGAATTTCAGTTCCCTTGAATTTCCAAATTCAGAAATTGTATTTTGTCATTATTGGTTTCTCAGCTGAAGCAGAATCATCAGGCATAGTTATGAAATTTCTGACTTTTATAGATCATGTGCCAGACGTACTGTTCTGTTTCAACACTTTTTGTACTTTCTAGTCTATGTTACTTCTCATGTGAAAAGAAACTAATACTTTGATTGTGGAAATTTCTGTTAAAAAATATGCCTGGCCAATGTTTTGTAGGTACTTTATTCCTTCCTGGTATCTTCATTATATTGAAATAAGCTTATGTATACTTAGGTTGGATTCACTCTCTATTTATATCAAAGACTGTTTCAATCCTTGAGCAGTCACTTAGGAAAAGAGAGTTGTGCAAATTAGAAGTTGTTAAGAGTTCATTGGCATATTTTCAAATACATGGGCGTAGATGCCAAAACTTATGTGTGTATGAGTTGAATTAGAAAAATTACAGGGTTTGTAAGATTTAAGTATAGACCGTAATAATTGTACAGAATTTATTCTAAAGACATTCAAATTAAATCATGTCTCAGAATGATGGGGATTCTTCTTTTAATTAAACCTACAGTTGCAATTGAAAGATAGACTTAGTATTTTCAGTATGATAGAGGATATTTTTCAACACGAGGTTGTTTCTCGGAGGTGTTGTAATTATTACTAGAAAATTGTTCTGAGTTTCATGCCAGTTCAGTCACCTCAAGTCTGATCGTGTGGTGATAATTTTGCTTTTCGTGTCTCGCTCCTTATGTTATTGGTACTGGGAGTATTTTGCTAAGTCACCTCTATTTTTCTCCCTTGCTCTACAATAACATTTCACATGGGAAGCTTTGGGCTTTGCTGACGGCTTTTTCACTTCCTCATAACCAGGTCAGAGTGAGAATAGAGGTGAAGGACATTTAATCATATTGACCATGTACAGACATAGTTCACTATTATTTACTGGCCATGACATTATTATCCTCCAGCAAATCATTTGGACTGAGACGCAAAAGGCCTTTGGGAGCAGTATTCCCAACTTCAAAAATATGAAACAGCAGGTAGCAATCACAGCACAGTTCCTGGGAGTAATTCTTCTCTGGCAATTGCTTTGCCCTCTAATCGTCCCAACTGAGAAAGCAAGAGAGACCAGAGGAGGAAGTGTGAGAAGTGTAATGGCTGAAAAATAATATGTCATGTGCAGTGTAACTGAAGAGCTATATTTGTAGTGTAGCTTACTGAGGGTCAGTAGCATGGGAGAATTTCACCTTGGTAAGCTTTTTAACATGTTGCTCAAATCACTTTTACGTTTCTCAGTTTAATAGTACTGTCAATGCACAGCAACTCTTTTTTGACAGTATTGCTTTCTACTTCAGTTCACAATTTTTTTCTCTGAGTTTATAAGAATTTGTACTTGTGTGTGTGTGTACATTTTTGCACTAAATGAGGATGGGAAGTATGAGTGGGGAGTATGAAGTTCCTCAGTACGCCTTGTGAAGAACTTTCAACTTCCCTGTTTCCATAGCCTGTCATGCCTTTGGGCACCAGGGTTATTATATCGATGAGAAAAGAGCATGTAAGTAATGAGCGGTGGGAAACCATTAGTATGCCTGAAATGATTTAATGAAAGCTTGGATCATGATACGTCAGGAGCTGTTCTTATCATTTGGACAGCTCCATCTGCATCTTCAATAATTAATTCAGTTCAGTAAGAGTTCAGTGTGCACACTCATTTAGAAGCCTTCAGAGAGCCCCTCTCTCGCCGCCCGCCCCAGAGAGGAACAGGCTGAGAGCAGAGAGCTGGAGATGCAGGAGCAGCTTTAGAGCTGCATTTGCCAGGTAACAAAAGCTCCGGGGAGTTCAGAAAGGGTCAGAACATGTGCAGTTCAGCTGGGTCACTGCAGAGTGCCGTTCCTGCTCTCCTGTCTCATCGGATCCGTGTCAGCACCGCGGGCTCTGCGCGAGGAATTTTAAGCCTCCGAGCTCGGGCGGACGTGATTCCATTGAGCAGGTTCATGGCTAGAAAACAAACAGTGCACCTCTGTCAGCTCTGGGCAGGAGAGCCTGAGTGTTTTCACTGCTGTGTAGATCCAGATTCATTCATATCCGAGGAATGGGTGAGGTTGGTTTGACTTTAATTTAGGCACAACCGGTGCAGTTTGCTTCTCGCAGATGGAGCCAGCATATTAATCTACCAGTGGTTGTGTAGGCAAAGATCACATTCCATTAACATAGGAAATATGAAATGTTTTCACTCAGGTTGAAGTATTACTCATCAAAGTCAGGGATGTACAGGTGCACACATAACCTGGCTCCACACGTGAAAATGGACTGTGTCTGGAACCTTATTTCTATAAATAATAAATGTTTATCTTTCTGTAGTAGACACTTGATAAATGGTATTTATGTATAACTCACAGGGGGAAATTTATCATAATTATTGCAAAATCTAGCTTTATTTCAGGACTAATTCATTGTACCTGCAACTAATTCCAATCCATTAGTCTGCTGTGCAGGTTATTACATTCACTTTTTTAAAAAAGGTAATTTGACTTGAAGACACTCTCTCTCTCAAAATTACGTGGGTTTCAGAGGCCAGAAAAGACAAATTTCCTACTTATACCATCTTTCATGTCCAGTACCTTCTGATTTCCAGATGAGGAACGGCCACATGTGTGTTGGCTGTGAAAGCAGCAGGATCTTCCAGGTACATCAGAAGATGCTCTCATTATTTATGTAATTTTTTTTATTTTACACACAATTCTAAAATCAGGGTATAGATTAAGGTAGCTCTCTATGTAATCCAGTATTCCATCTCTTCCAGTTGGTATGCTTTAGAAATTAGGGCAAAATCAAGCATAATGTTTTAAGAGGTTTCACATTATAGCTCCACCTACTGTAACTGTGTGTTCTGTCACTCGTTATCACAGCAGAACCTTCAAATCCAAAGCCTGACCAGACTTTTAACTTCTTATTTTTAGCCTTCAAAAGAGTGTTAGGGTGATTTTCAGTCTGATTTTCAGAAGTGAAGCATGAAAGAGATTTTACAGACTTTATTAAGGGTATAATTTTATGACTGAGATGTATACACTGTGCCTCTGTGTGTGTGTTTGCACAGGGTATTTATATTTTTTATTACCACTGAAGAAGAGGGGTACTTTTCAGTTGCAGATTTTGGCTCATCTGGAGCTCAGACCAGGTTGCTCAGAGCTGAAAAAGCTTTCCTTGTACAAAGTTGGTACAAATGAATACAAAAGTCCTAACTGTGTTTTCCTCTCCCCCTACATATTTCTCACCCAGAAAAGTAATTCAGCTATTCCTTCTAAAAGCAGTTATTTTCCAGCAAGTTCCCTTCCCTCACTGTTTAGTGTCTTTTGTCAAAAAAAAAAAAGTGGCAGGATGCCCAAAAGTCTTTAACTCATGAGTTCCTCCAAAACAATCAATTCCTAGATGAAAAGCAGTAAAGGGAGCCAAAAAGCAAATCTATAGAAAGGTTTTGTTACAGTATCTGTAAGCAGGCAAAATAGGGTTTTTATAATGATATAATGTGTACCAGAGATGCCAGCATGTTTGAACAAGTGGCAGACCATGGTCTTTTGGCTGCTGAAACTGAAAACTATGCAACATTTCCCAGTGATGGAGAAACAAGTATCATATGCTCTGTTGTCATAGTTACTTTGTGTTTAAAGTACCGGATTTTTCCTTGTTACTTGGAAGGACTTTTTCAGCTACTGTGATACAGCATTATTATTTCTGTGGGCTGCTTTTGTGGGTCTGTACCCAAAATAGAATTAAAGTGTCTCTTAAGAAGCTGCTGTGTACAGTTATTCCCTGGAGCAGCAAGGACACACAGACAGAGCTGACAGACCTGTTCAGTGCACTGGAGCTTGGCTCAGGCTCTGGGGTGAGGCCATGTCTGCACTGAAGGAACCTCAGCATGTGAATGCAAGCTTTTGTTTTTCATATGTCAAACCAGCACTTCAGTTGTAGAGAGAATCAGAGGATCAAACCCTCTCGTTTCATAAGGCAGTCATTTATGGGCTAAACCATATCTATGAGTTTTTGATCCAAGAATGATGTTGCTGGTACAATACAGGATACTCCAGGGGAGCTCCTTAGGCAAGGATTAGCTTCCAGCTGTGCTGCAAATACTGTTCTGAACTGGATTGTGCACTCAGGGATGCACAGGTCACAGCCAAAGTTGATTTACATGTTAGGATTGGGATGGGGCATGTGTCTTAGCTCTTAATCTGTTTGTTTTCACAAAAAGCAAATTGAAGTTGCATTCTTTTAAGCAGGCTGGAGAAGTTCATGTTATGTCAGCTACCAGATGTACGAGAAACTTTTTCAAATCCAGGAGAATAAAGTCTGCCTGCAAAGGGTCAGGCACAGAGCCCCTGTCCTGTGCAAAGGCCGGGGAGAGAAGCAACTTATGTGCTAAGCCAAGGAACTTACACCACACAGTGGAAACCTAGATAAGAGGGAGAGATCACAAGGATATAATGAAGTGGTGTTTCTCATCTGGGTAGACATTACCTATAAGAATCATAAAGGGAGATCAAGATCATGAATTATTGACACTTCTATTAGATTTTGCAGCAATGGAAATATGCTCAACCTACACCATGTACATACATCTGCTTAAAGGTCAAGCATTTTCAGTCTATTCTTGGAACACAAACTGAAATCAATCATCAAAGCTTATTTTTGTTATTTGTATCACATACATTTTTTCTATTAATCTCAAGACACAATTGTAAAAATATTTTACTTTCAATGGGGACTGATAAGGTCAAAAGCTGCCAGACTCTGTTCTGGTGTTGAGAATGCCTAATAGTTCATGCTGTCCATCCTGATTTTGAGACAGCAGCAGGAGTGATAACTTGATTGCCCTTAACAGTAGGAATTGTTTCTGTAATACATATTCTTATTAAGAGACTGATCAGAGCCTGAAAAATACTCCCTTTTCCAAGATTTTCCAGACCAGCTCTTCATTGAGTGACATTTCTGACCACTGAGGCCCAACCGTGGGAACACGTTGCAAAAATTGTGAGGATTTTGAATCTGTCTCAAACCAATGATCAAACCAGACTTGGTGTGATCATTCTCCATCAGTAACCAGCTGCAGATACATATGGAAGATTATAAAAATAGGGTTATAATCTGTCTATGTGTTATAAGGATGTCCAAGCATATTCTCCCATCTTGTCTTAGCTTTTGGTTCAGCCATTACTTATTGTACTTACTGTACTACATTGTACTAGTACAGAAGGATGTGTGTCTTCTTCCTGAGAGGACACAGCTCTTACTGGTTTCAAAGATACAATTTTTTTTGAATGGTCTCCATGAACAAACTAATTACTCAGATTGACTGGGTGCTACTTTCCAGCCCATGCTCTGCAGGCATCCTTGTGTTTGGCTTGCTGTGCTCTTCACAGGCTCGGAAATCGATGGGAGAAAGGCACCTGCTAACTTTGATATCTGGGATTCTGTTTCAAAATAGGAAAACTATAAAAAATTTCCTTCAGCATCTTCCCTGGTGTTATCTGTATGGACACAACAAAAAGACACCATAGTCCTTCAAGTGGCACACAGTCACTTTGACAGAATCCAGACTACAAAGGGAAAGAGGGCAGTAGGAGGGTGCAGCACCAGCACGCGTCTGTGGCACTGTTAAGATTGATGCATTCCCTACATCTTTTTCTTCTTCTCTTTCTTTTTCCTCAGTTACATTTAAGCTCTCTTCTGGAATTTGTGAGAACAAAAGGGAATAAAAAAACAAAGTGGGGGGGAGAAACCAGCAAAGGTGAAAAACGTTTTAAAAGCAGGATGGGGTGCTAAAAAGACAAGTAGTATAGCACAGGAAAGGGGTAAGCACAGTCCTCAGAGGGAATCAGTGAGATGGGGAAAGGGCCAGAGGTGACAGGCAAAGGTGGGCAGGGGCTGAGCACAACATGCTGCAAGGGGGAGCTGGACTGGGGATGGCAAGTGCTGGGCAGGAGCTCAGGATGATATTTGGAATTTGGAAACTTAAGTGAAACAAGGACTTCTAACACTTCTTTCCCCCCTCGTATGTATTTGCAATCACCTTTTACAGACTATCTGATGTAGTTACCAACTTTCAGTACTTATTTGAAAATAAACTACAGGGTTTTTGTTTAGCCTGTAACATCATCATTATTCAACCTATTACTTGAAGTAGTTTAATTTCACTCTTATCTGTTTTGACAGCTGAATCTTATCTTCCTGGTGATCACATTGTGCAAAATGGTGAAGCACTCAAACACTTTGAAACCAGACTCTAGCAGGTTGGAAAACATTAAGTAAGTGCTTTGTGTTCAAGTATGAGAACTATGATTATTTTCTGATTGCTGAACTGATTGAAAGCTACTCTCCATTAGGAGCACATGCCATTGTCTCCCAGCAACTGCAGATGTCAATTAGAAGCAAACAGAGCCAATCCTGCTTTCGTCACATTGTTGCTGTAATGTCACAAACGCCGGTCAAAATTAGATAATTTCAGCCTGGAACTAGTGCCAAGAAACTGTTTCACGGAAATGCCACAGCACTGTAGTAATTTCATTTGCATTTAAAATGCAGTTCAAAAATGATGTTCCTGTTTGCATGGCTGATATGATTATATTAAGTTTGTTTTGTTAAATGACTTTTTGATTTAGGGATTCTGAGCAGTTTCTACTCGTAATCCTGTACTCCCAAGAGAATTGACTCTATTATTATTGTTAACTTGAAGATTATCTGCTGTTTTCATGCTAATTTAACAAATGTTTACTTTATCATGGTGCTGTACTGTAGTATCCCTTTTGCAGAGTAATACAAGTTTTATATAACTAACAAGGCTTTGGCAGCTTTCCCTTTTTTAGATAGCTTTTTACTGTATTCTCTGTAGCTTTACATTGTACTGAAGGTTTTTGTTACCAACACTGAAGGGATGGTGGAAGTTTCTAACGCTGAGGGTTGGATGTGAAAGGGTCTTACAGATTGGCTTTGACTGTTGCAAATGGCCAAGGGAGGTTTGCAGTGAGGGACCCTTGGGAACTAGGATGTTCTAGATAGGTCAGTACCAGCTTCATTGCATGTTGCATGAGGAGAGAGAGAGCTAATCTTTAGCATCTCTCTCTTTTCTTCCTTTTCCTCTTTCTGTCTTCTCATCCACACCAGTAATTACCGTGTTTGTGATGGCTACTATAATACGGACTTACCTGGGTAAGATAGAACCCTACATTAACAAATTTCTGGCATGACTTTTAACTTTACAAACTCGGTCATATTGTGGATTTCCCTTAATTTTAATTAACTATTTTTGAGATATCTGATTTGCTAAAGACTTTTTAACTATTATATGCCTTTATAATTTTAAATTGCCTGCCTCTGCATTTTGAATTTCCTAATTTTGACTAATTTTTATAGACAATTAAAAATGCTCTTATTAATTTCTGTTTCAATTCTGTCTAATAATTTTGTTTCTCTTTTCTGCTTATAATGCTTTCTAGCTATGAAGATAATAAGCCATTTATCAAGTAAGATCATTAGTTAGATGTGGAATTCACTGACTAAATTCCCTTTCCCTTTCATTCTGTGCCGTTCGCTACAATTCCTTTTCCTTAACCTGTTCATGATGGAATCTTTTTTAGATTATTCTGTAAAGCAATATCCATGTTTTTGTCACATTTCAGCAGGGGTTCTTCATGTGGAAGTTAGACCATCTAGCTTCGGTTTAGCTGAGTTTATCGGAGCATTAAAGATTTGGGCTCTAGGCTTTTAATCTGCTGTTTAACCTTTGTGCATTTGTGTGACATTATTTGGTGTCATATGGCAGCACCACTGTTTAAAATCTATGGTGTGATTAGTGGCTAAGCCAGATTTATCAATCTCTTTTCTAAAAGCAGATAAGGCAATGGAGTAGCTGGGGTTTGTGCTATACTTCTGCATTTCAAAATAGTTTTGACATCCTATGCTGTTCTTGAGAAAGAAAAAGGTTATATCTACTCTTGCTGTTTTCACTGGAGACTAAGAATACTAAATGGAATTGTTCTTTCTTTGATAGATAAAAGGTTAAACCCAAGGAATTTTTACATTTGAGTATGAAACTAGTAAAAGTCAACTGCAGGAACTGAAATGTTAATATTGGATTTGGCCATGTGCATTCTCCTAAGTAATGTTACTAAAATTAATTTTCTTTTACAGATCCTGGGTCCTGGGTGCATTTGCTCTCCTGTGTCTCCTTGGCCTAACATGGTCATTTGGCCTGCTGTTCATAAACGAGGGGACTGTTGTGATGACCTATCTCTTCACAGTATTTAATGCTTTCCAAGGAATGTTTATATTCATCTTTCATTGTGCCCTCCAAAAGAAAGTAAGTTACCAGAACCACAGATGTGTGTTCCCTAATTCCTTAGGAAGGCCACATGTAATTCTTAAAAAAATAGAGAAAAAAATAGCAAAGTCAAGAACTCTGTAGTATTTTGAAGTAATTTGGGGAGGGGACTGGGATTCCAAAGCAGTTTTTGCTGTATGTGGGAGTCGTGTAGCTGCCCTGTGCCCCAGGCAGGTTTAACAGGGGTGCACCATTTCCAACCTGGGCTTGAAATGTTTTGAGGCTCTGTGAAGAAAATTGCTATAGAAAATGTCCTGTTTAACACTGGTGATATGGTATCTATTAGTCTGCACTTAGAGCCAAAAGTCTTTTCTGCCCATGTGAAACAAGTCCTGCCCCTGCTGCAGGGCTGCAGCCAAAGGACCAGTTCCAGTATGAGCCTGGAAACCTCTCCTTTCCTCAGAGCAAGGCAGAGGACCTCTCCTGAGATCCCACTAAGCTGCCACACAAAGCTCCAGGTGATAGGCAGGGTCTGTACTTGGTGTGCTCATTCATTACAAAATCAAGTGAGATGTAAAAATTAATTTTACTACGAACTTCAGCACACTTTACAAAAAAGTAGTCATTAACTACTAACAGCAATACTTTTCTAAAGATGGAAAAGATGCCAGCATGACTACTTTTTTTCCAAGAGTTTGCCTCCCCCAGAAATCCCAGTAGCTTTGTTCTCTTAACTGGAAAAACTGGAATCCCCTGGCAAGAGGGATGAGCTGAACTAGTTCTGCACCCCTTCAGCTGGTGGGAGCAGAAGGGCCCAGAATGAGCAGATCTGCTGGAGAGGGAAGGCTTGCAGGGGAGAGAGGAACAAGCAAGAGAGAAGGCAGGTGAAGGGTGCAGCTCTGTGGGATTCTTTTTGGGTTCCCTGCACCCCTTCTGTTCCCCAGGGGATGGAGACTGCTTCCAAGGGTGCCTCAGAGAGGCTTTAAGGAAGAGTGAATGAGAAAAGCTGACAGCCTCTGTTAGAAGGCAGGACAAGTGAAAGTAATGAGAGTTGAGAGGAAGGGTAAATGTTAAAAGTCCCACCCAAAAAAAGTAACATGTAATGCAGTACATCCTACATTTGGAAATACCTTATTTGCAATATTTAGATTTTAAATATTTTTACCAATTTTAGGCTGGAGACCTAGCAATTGTTAACTCCCATTATAATTAGCTCACCAGAGACATAATTAACAGATATTTATAAGATGGTTTGAGACCATTGGATAAAGCGTTGCTGTGGAAGTACAAAAAATACAAAACCCATATTCGTGCATGTTCTCAACTGTACCAGCTCTAAGAGTATCAGCATCTCTAAAGCTGGTGTAGACAATGGCATTCAGACATGTTTTAGCAAAGATCTGGTAGACAGAAAGCATTTTATCCAGATGAACGTGGCACTCCTCTCATTTTGAGAGAACAAAAGCACACTTAGGAGATGGAGCCTAGGAAAAGATAGGGAAGGAAATGCAAACATTCTCAAAATGCAAATAATTTCTAGATTAGGGTTTCCTATAATGTTTCCCTTTTTGTATTTGTGTTGGACTCAAAAATCAAAAACAGATTCCTTTTTTATTTCTTTTTACAGCTGTGCATTGTTTTTCTATAAAGTGGAGTCAGCAGAAAGGAATATTAAAATACCAGTCAAGTGTGAAAAAGCATAACCTAGAGCAATAAGATTTATACCTGAAAGAATGTTAAAGCTGCCATTTAAGATTTTCAAGTGTCGCTGCCTTTTGACTGGGTGTTGTCCTACCCTCTGTCTGCATAGCTAATGTAGTCTTTTTATTCTGTTATTACTAGTTGGTCACTAAATTGAACAGAGAAATAGAACTGTGGAAGTGAAAACTATTATGTTTCCAGTTCTGACGAGATGATGGTGCTGTTGCTTCCATCAGTTTCCAACAAGCTATAATTTAGAAATAATGACAGTGGAATGCACACTCCTGACAGATAATGTACATTCACTGCAATAGAGGCATTAGGCAAAACCAGCCCTGGAGGGTGGTATTTCGGAAAAAATACAGTTTTGATTGCTATTGTCTCTACTGTGTAGTGGTTTGGAGCATTTAGTATCCATTAGTGTTCAGGAATGTATTTTTTTAGGTGTTACACCATAAATATAGACCTATGTTTTTTACACTACAGGGTTGAAAATTATAATTCTAAGTTGTTTCATTTCTGCTTTCGTTTTTTATGTGTCTTTTGTGCTGATATAGATGGGGTTGACTTAAAATATGTACCATATATTTTTATAAAAAGGTGAGTTATTGTGCCTAGCTTGAAGTTAAGGCACAAATTATTCAAATTTTCTTCAACCTTGTGCTTTATAGAAACATCACAGTATGCATTCCATGAGTAAAACTCCTGTAATGTTGAAAACAGCACATTACATACGTAAATCCACACAATTAACTTTTTTCATTTTCCCCTTTCCCCTTTTTGCATACACACAACTTTCTGTGTTATATATTCATAGGTCAGGCAGAATTTTCAGATTAGCTGAAATCCCACTTTTCACAGAAACTCATGAGTCTCATTGGTGTAGAAGAGACACTTAAATTCCCACCTCTCTGATGGAAGAGTTATGAATTTAGACTTACACATCTATACAAATTTTATCCACTGTGTCCTTTCCCTGATGCTGTCACGCTGCCAAGATGTGCACGTGCTCTCCTGCTACCTGAAAACAGTAGTCAGTGTAGCAGTCACTGAATATGAGAGAATTAACTGCTCTGTAAATTAATCCTGATTACTTTTATGGCAATCATTAACACACATAACAAAACTAAAGTTTCCAGTAGGTCACTGGAAACAGAAGGTGAATGAATGCAGGCCAAATACTTGGAATCATTAATTAGTTTTGTTGCTCTCTCAGGAAAAAAAAAAAAAAACAAAACAAAACATCTACGTAGGTATATTCAAATTTCCAGGCTCAACAAGCTGAGTAATGGCAGTTTTATGTTCTGGTCCTAAAGTGGCAACTGCTTCACTCCCATCCTTTATGGCTCAGACTGTGACTCTGGGACACTGGAAGGTGCCTCCCCAGCAGAGCTGCTGCTCTGCCCCCAGTGGGGCACTGGGGAGCTGTGCTGGTGCCAGAGCAGGGCTGGGCACGTGGAGTGAGCTGAGGGAGTTACACAGAGTGTGAAAAGGCCTTTACAGCCATGGCACGCTTGGCACTCTGGAGCACAAGGCAAAACATAAAGGGCAGTGCTGAGCAGTGCAAAGGCTGCTTACCTCAGCCCTCCTTGCCTGCTGGGATGGCAATACAGGCTGGAATCCTGTGCTTTCTGCACCAAAAGCTCATATAAAAAGGACTATTTTCAGCCACCGTTCAGTTCAGGTAAACTTAACTGTACTACTCTACAGTATGAAGATAAAATAAATATAATTCCATAACTAGCTCAGTAATGATTATTCAAGGACATCTAAATGAAGTGTGTCTATACCTTGGAAATAATTGTTTCAAAAGTCCTGGGTAGCTGATAATACTGCCGCTGAGTAGGGGGAGAGCTGTGGTTTTGCCAGCAGTTTGACAGACGAGAATTATCTATTTGCTTGAAAGGCAGTTTCAGTGCCAGGTTCCTGTGTTTTTGCCAGCAGAGATATTTAACACCCATCCTTGTGCTGAGCAGTTTGGTTTTCTCCCCCAAAGGTGCGTAAGGAGTACGGGAAATGCTTCCGACACTCCTACTGCTGTGGGGGGCTGCCCACGGAGAGCCCCCACAGCTCAGTGAAGGCATCCACCACCAGAACCAGCGCCCGCTACTCCTCTGGCACTCAGGTGACAAACACTTTGACAGCACCTTTTCGTTACGTTTATTTATTAAAAGCCCGCTGAGATGTGTTCCAGTCAGAAGGACTAATTGTCTTCTCATCGTTATCACTTAGATGGCAAATACCGCATAGCAGAATTATTTCTTTTTAAACATTTCCTTTCACTTTGGTCTAATACAAGCACCTTTTTTTTTTTTCTTGTAATTAGGGTTTATAGGAAGGTTTATACCACCATGTTTCATCTAAATGGAGTTTAATAAATTAGAGTTTTAATAAAAAAAGAAGGCGTTTTCACTATGTGCTAGAAGAATGTGTTACTTTAGGCCAAAGTAAACACAAATATTCTACATAATAGCACATGAGTAGGAGAAAAATCTTTTCATAACTTACTGTGCTTTTGTCTCACTGCTTTATGTTAACAGAGTCGTATAAGGAGGATGTGGAATGACACTGTGAGAAAACAATCTGAATCGTCTTTTATCTCAGGTGACATCAACAGCACTTCAACACTTAATCAAGGTCAGTCACTGGGAACATTTCGGTTTTAGGATCCTTAAATTTTATACAGATTTTATATCACAGAAGAACAAGAATGTTTCCAAAAAAAAAAAAAAAAAAAAAATCTGGAACAAATGTTCTCCAAAAGCAGAGTTTTAAAGTCATCCACCAGCACTTTTTAAAACACAGTGTTCCCTCAACTGGCCCTGCTATAGAAGCTGAATTCCTCCATTCATGGGAATGTATTTAAATAAGTTTCATCAATAATTTAGCTTAAAAGCAAGATCATAATTTTAAATCTTTCCTAACCTTTATAGGTTAAATCTGAAATAGAAATATGAGTGCAGTAACATTTTAATGCGTATTTGACTGATTTTTAGGTGCAGAAATTTTCCCAGTGAAATCTAATTGATATCATTTCTATGCAAAAGATGTCTGTGAAGCATTTATCTTTTCTGTTTCAAAGAGCATCATATCTGTAACATGGGATAGAATCCAGATTTTCGGGCACAGAGAAGTCAAACCATCAAATCTTCTCAACTCAAACAGACTTTGAAATCTGTAACATCATTCTCTTGTCCAGGCAGAACACAAGGGTATTAACCCAGACAGATTGTCCCTTCCTCCCTGCCCTCCCTGCTGGGTTTCCTTAGGGCAGTTTGAGCAGCAGAGGAGAGAAGAGTGCTCTGTGCCAGGCAGGTTCAAAGCCTGTCCTCCACCCACATCCCCACGAGAAGAGCCCTGGTCTCACTGCAACCCGCTCCTGCTCAGCTCACAAAGCTTCAGACAGAAAATTCAAGTTCATGATTCAATGGCAGGGGCATGTGCTTGACTCATGTTGGTTTTCAAAGTAAGAACTGTGGTATTTGCAGAGGCTCAGGTGGCAGGGAGCACAGTTCTAGTTCTGCTCTTCGGCGTGTCGAGAAGAGCTGTGTCTCACTGCTCCCCTTCCCCATATGGGTCTTGCACGTTCCTCTGGCAAAAATTAAGTAGAAAATGTGTATTTTTCATGTCCAAGAAAGAAGTTAGTTCCCCTCCAGTGTCTTATTAAAATCCCATAAATACACATTATATAAAAGTTTGGGTTTTCACCCCAGTTTGATGTCTCTGACTCCTGAGGTTTGCTCTAACCATGCTACACCCTGAGGTAATGCAGAGTTGAGCTGAGCTCCTGAAAGCTTTTCCCTGTTCTGAGTTCCAGTCTCAAGTCACTGGAGATGTTCTGCCATGATTAGAAAAATTGCTATCAACTCTTTTCAGTTATGAGACTGTCACTATCTCACTGGTACATACTTATAAGAGTAGCCTAATAATTAATGGCAAGTGTAATTTTTCCTTTAAAATAAAAATAAAGCTTTTAAAGGTGGTCAAACAATTTGGATTGAAAAAAATTCTTAACTCTAAATTACAAGTAATGATTTTAACCAAGATGAAAAAAAACCCAAGCAAAATGTTAGTATTTTTAGTAAGAAGTACATTACAGCTGAAAAAAGCTGTGATAAAAGCTTTTTAGTTGATCACTGATACAAACTTTCAAATAAGATTAGCATAGTCAGACAGTAATTCTTGGAATCTCAGAAATTTCTGCTCATTTCTGCTACTAAGTATCTATTCTGCTAGTAAGTAGTACAAAGGCATTAATATTTGGAATATATACTATCATTCCTTGCCCCAAAAATATCCACACTATAAAGATATAGCTGTCTCTTTAGTTGTCCTTGGGTCTGTAATACTCTGACCCTGTGCAATGCAATAGAAAGTGAAATTTTGCCTTATTGAAAAGTTTAAATTAATTTTTAAAACACAGCTTTTTGTGTGTGGCTTTTTTTGGTCATTATTCCAATCCATTTTTCCTGTAGTAGCTAGAAATCAGAGATTAATTGACTTTTTAATAATGTCTCAAAATACGCTGTTTTTTTCCTAATTATTCCGAGGGTTGTTTAAATGGTGTTGCATTAACATGTAAAATGGGTTTAAAAAAATCTGTTCATGTGGTATTTTGCTTTGTCTTACATTGTTTGTAAACTGGTTGTTTAAAGAAATTTGTCATTCGAGGAAATCTATTTTTTTTAAACCTGGCAGATAAATTTGCAGCATGAATGTCCCGGGAGAAAATGTGAATGCTCTGATTTCTTAGAGCAAATATTTTGCTTTCCCCTCAGCATGCATACTTTTGCATATACTAAGATGTGCTTCTTGCAGTTTATCATCCACTGTCCGTTTGAAAGCAGCAACTCCCTTCCACTCTCTGTGTGTTTTTAATAAAGTGAATAACAGCTCTCATCCTGTCATAAGAGGGTTTTCAGTTTGAGAAATTCAGTTCTCTCCATTCTGGACAGAACTGCTCCATATGCTCAGTGTTAAAGTTCTAATAGCTTTATGTAGTACCTGGATCTCTACCCATTTAATTGCTATTCTGGTGTAGCTGATTTGTATACATCAGTAAATATCACTTTCACGAGATGTTTACTTTGGGGATTTGGGCAGCACCTGTGAATTACTGGAATCTAACTGTGTTTTCCTGCTCCCATTTCAAATACATAGCTAAAACACATCCAGAAATTTTCAGCTGAATTACATTTGACAAGTCCTACATGATTCATGAGGAATAAAAAATATTCTTTATTGAAACTGTCAGACTAAAATTAAAGAACTGACATTTTTTTTTTTCTGTTTCTTTTGCTTTAGGAATGACTGGCAATTACCTACTAACAAACCCTCTTCTTCGACCACACGGCACTAACAACCCCTATAACACATTGCTCGCTGAAACAGTTGTATGTAATGCCCCTTCAGCTCCTGTGTTTAACTCACCAGGTGTGCTTATACTTCCTGAATAAACCGCTTTTCTTGGCTCGCTCCACATTCCCTCTTTTCCCCAGACAGAAACTCGAGTTGCAACACCCCAGCCCTAGTGTCTGAATTTCTGTCACTTGGAGAAATACAGTATTGCCAATGTCAGCTTGTAAAACTGCACTATATTATAGTAATGCCTTTGCCCTAACAGTATTTACCAATAATTATCCATGTCTTTAACACAGGTGGCATAAATCTTAATATACTATTACAGGACTGACACCACATGGTCCGAGAGCCCATCTTCAAGATATATATCACTTAGAGGTATCATGTCTATGCAATAAAAGGTTGACTCTAAAGCTTGTTGAGAAAATCCTGCTTCTGGAACAGATTAAATACCAAAGCCCAAGGCATCTTGGCACCTTTGGATACCCTGGTGGAGAAAACTGTATCCAGCATCAAACAGATCGAAACTATAGTATAGTGCAGCTTTATGTAGATCATTTTCCTGTAGGAAAATCTTGGGATTATTAACAGTTAGAGCAGTTTAGTTCTGTAGGAATAAAGGGTATCATCACTTACCTAACATTTTGTTGTTACATTATCTACTTGCTTTTTTAAACAATGGTGCAACTCATCAGTAAATATCTTGCAGATACTGTTTGATGAGTCATAACATCACTTTAGTGTAACTGGAATGATAAATCTTTGAAAAAGAGCTCATAAAAACCTTGTTTCCAGTTTTTATTTCAAGTTTCCTTTTTAACTGAACTGTAGTTTCTATTTTCATTCTCTTGTTTTCTTACTTTCCTTATGCTTTCCTCTAGCAACCTACAGAGAGACAAGTATGGGAGTAAAACTTAACTTTGCCTATCAAATGTAAATTTTTTCAGCATGATTTTTAATGGGCACAATTAAAACATAACTAGCGGTCATGAAGTAGACTCAGCGGGCAAGTGGTTCACAATTTGCAAATGAAATGTTTCCACATTCAAAAAGTACTTGCATACTGCTTTTTGGGAAGCGACACGAGGTCTGTAGCAAACCCTATTGGTAACACGAGTTCTGCAATGCTGAAATAATTTGCTGTTTAAAACCAAAGCGGTGTCACGCCAAAATGCTCAACAATTTACTTATATTTTTATATCCCTACAGTAATCTTGCTACAGGCTATGGAAAGATTTCCAATTAATTACCTGATCGTGGGCAACAAAATTTGCCTCATCAAACCAATTTGAATATATTCTAGCATGCTTAACTCTGCAGTATATCATAGAAAACTCATTTTGGATTATTATTTTGATATCTGTTTAGCAGAGAAAAAGAAAATTAAAATTACAGAATTAAATCACTTTCATGAGGGAAATGAATCCAGCATGTGGTCCATGTGTTGTCTACTTTTATAAATGCCATATGTTCTTTGCAGCTAAATTCATTGCAAGAAAAATCCTGGAACATACATGAAATTACCAAACTACAAAGTTGTTTAATCAAAGCTTAAAGAGACCTTTCAAACGACCCTCATCACTGTGTAAATCAGGCCAATAACACAAATGCAAAATGACTTGCAAATTGCTCAAAATTTATTTGGAAATTATTACTCCATTTTTTTAAAGTTCAAGAAAAAGATCTTTTCATGAGAAAATGCAATTACTTTTTAATTGAAAACAATATTTCCAGAGAGGATTGAATTTTCTAGGATAAGCTGCAGCTTTAATTATCAAAAAAAAAAACAAACAGAAAATGGGAAAAACATATAATCTTTTTCAAAAAAACTTTTCTCTTATACTCCTCCAAGCCTTGCATATTATGCAGCAGCCTCACAGTGGTCAGTCTCATTTCAGTAAAGTCACTTCATTCTTTCTTTATTTTCCAGACATATCTGTAGATAAAGTGATTTTCTAGGAATGCTCTCACCATCTGACTTCCATGGTTCAGACTGTTTAATTTCTTGCAAAGTTTTTTCTCTTTTTTTTTTTCCTTTTTTTTTTCCTTTGCTTGGGAAGCACTGTGCTGTCATGGTTTACATGTCTTTGTGTCTATAGGAAAACCTTTTCTTTATCGAGTTACTGGAAAAAACAAAAAAAAAAAGCCAAAACCAAAAGCATAAAGACCTTAATCATCATAAGACTTCATTTCCCCCCCCCTTAAACTCCTTTTCATGTTTTCAGCAGACTTACCCAATCTGTCATTCCTCCAACAGCTCTGAGATATCAGCCATGGCTGATTTCCTCTTCCCATTCCACAACTAATATTTATTCTTTGGTTTAATTTCTGTGACCCATACTTACAGAAATTCCTAACATTTCTGCATTTGACTTCCATGCCCATGGTTAACTGTGGGCCTAACTCTTAATTAACTATTCTGGTTCATTCAGTGCTGTCACTGTGACTGATGCAGACTGCAGGCAAACTCTGACCTTTAGGGGCCTGGGGCCATTGTTGGCAGACAGAATATTAGTGCAAAAAAATTACATTAAGTGGGGAAAGAAAAGCTGTTATTGCTTAGTAATCTAATTTGCTGAACCCTTGCTCTGACTAAGTTGCTGAGAAGCTCAGTAATTCTTCATCATGTTACAATAAATCATTTTACTTTCTTTTATATATCAGCTACTCTTAGGCCAGATAGCCTGAGCAGACAGACATGATGTGAGTTGTCCAAAGTGAGTCATTCCACCTGCTGTCTATCGTGTTGTTGGATGGTGCTTGTGGGCCCTGGTCCCTGTAGTGTGAAAGATGGCTGTCCTTGTTTAACATAAATTCTTTGTATTTATCCATTTTTTTCATTCTTTTCTTTACTTCATCTCAAAAAAAAAAAAAACCAGGAAAAAATGTTAGAAACGTTGTTAAAGTAGTTGCTTGCCAGTTATGTGGGTTTATGTTGTACATTTACCTTCAGTTATGTCTGTGATCTAATTCCTTTTTAATTTAGTGTCGTTTAGGACAAATTCTGTTAATTTTCTTTTTCCAAATCATGGTGGTGTACTTCAAAACATAGATGTTTCCAAACGAATTGCTTTGCATTACATATGCAAGGGCATGGAGTGAACAGTTCCTGGTGGAAAAGTCACAGAATTGACACTAAATTAAGAAATTCAAATGCCACTATTCCCCACAGGAAATACACATTGCTATTTTTAGAATGCATCTTTCCTATAAGGTGTGCAACTGTTTACATTTGGGAATGTTCAATAACCTAACCTTTCTCAAGTTTTACTTCCAAGTACAACTTTGTCCTGAACTACATTAAAGAATTGTGTTAAAAAGAACAAAAAAAACCCAAACACAAGCGATCAAAGCGTGTCAGGCAATAACCAGAGGTGTCCTTTTCCCTTTCAGGACATTCACTGAACAATGCCAGGGATACAAGTGCCATGGATACTCTACCGCTAAATGGTAATTTCAACAACAGCTACTCGTTGCGCAACGGAGACTATAACGACAGCGTGCAAGTCGTAGACTGTGGACTAAGCCTGAATGATACTGCTTTTGAGAAAATGATCATTTCAGAGTTAGTGCACAACAACCTGCGGGGCAGCAGCAAGAACCACAACCTGGAGCGGGCGCTGCCGGCCAAGGCGGCGATGGGCGGGAGCAGCAGCGAGGACGACGCCATCGTGGCCGACGCCTCGTCTTTGATGCACAGCGACACCCCGGGGCTGGAGCTGCACCACAAAGAGCTCGAGGCCCCGCTCATCCCTCAGCGGACTCACTCCCTTCTGTACCAGCCCCAGAAGAAAGTGAAGCCCGAGGGCACGGACAGCTACGTGTCCCAGCTGACCGCCGAGGCCGACGACCACCTCCAGTCCCCCAACAGAGACTCCCTTTACACGAGCATGCCCAACCTCAGAGACTCTCCGTACCCAGAGAGCAGCCCCGACGTCGAGGAGGATCTCTCTCCCTCCAGGAGGAGTGAAAACGAGGACATTTACTACAAGAGCATGCCAAACCTAGGAGCTGGCCACCAGCTTCAGATGTACTATCAGATCAGCAGGGGTAACAGCGACGGCTACATAATTCCCATCAACAAGGAAGGATGTATTCCAGAAGGAGACGTTAGAGAAGGACAAATGCAACTAGTGACAAGCCTTTAATAGTGTAGCAAAGAAATATTAAAGGCCACGTTCAAGTATTAAAAAGACTTAATTTGCCCCGTGCAGGCTCCCTCATATCTGCTTGAAGAGACAATTCTGTTGACCCTGTGGTTCTCCAGTAACGGAGATGACTGGACCTCGCAGTTCTGTGAATTTTTATAAAACAAAAACTTTGTATATACACAGAGTATACTAAAATGAATTATTTGTTACAAAGAAAAGAAATACCAACAAGGTATTTAAGATATCTTCTGCTGCTGAATTTAACAAAATTGTGAAAAAAAAAAAGAGAGAAATAAACACTTTCCAGCCATTTTACTGCAGCAGTTTGTGAACTAAATTTGTAAATATGGCTGCACCATGTTTTTTTTCCTAGGCCTACATTGTATTATATACAAGGCGTAGGCTTTAAAATCCTGTGGGACAAATTTACTGTACCTTACTATTCCTGACAAGACTTGCAAAAGCAGGAGAGATATTCTGCATCAGTTTGCAGTTCACTGCAAATCTTTTCCATTAGGGCAAAGATTGAATACATGTCTAACCACTAGCAATCAAGCCACAGGCCTTATTTCATATATTTCCTCAACTGTACAATGAACCGTTCTCATGAAAAAATGGCTAAAGAAATTATATTTTGTTCTATTGCTAGGGTAAAATAAATACATTTGTGTCCAACTGAAATATAATTGTCATTAAAAAATAATTTTAAAGAGTTTGAAGAAAATATTGTGAAAAGCTCTTGGTTGCACATACGTTATAAGCTGTTTTTCTTACACTGTTCATAGTACGGTAGTATGTTTAAAATGCAACTTCTACCCATTTTCACTTATTTTTCACTGTAAACAGTGTTCTGCTTTGACAAGTTAGTTTTTATTCTTAAGTTTTTGAATTTTTATTGCCAAAAAAACCATAATTTTGGGAGAAAATTGTTTTAGAAGCCAATTATGCCAAGCCTTGCACAAATTTGGTATAGCTAACAAAGATTGTAACTCAGTTCCCTGTTCAGTCTTTAATCAGGGTTGGGTGGTAAGGGGTAAGGGGGACACTGGACACTTCTCACAAGCTTTCTCGTGAATAAAAGGTGCCTGTCCTTTAAAAAAAATAAATAAAACATAACTATTACTCTTCCATATTCCTTCTGCCTATATTTAGTAATTAATTTATTTTATGATAAAAAAATCTAATGAAATGTAAATTGTTTCAACAAAATTCTGCTTTTTTCATCCCTTTGTGTAAACCTGTTAATAATGAGCCCATCACTAATATCCAGTGTAAAGTTTAACACCTGTTTGACAGTAAATAAATGTGAATTTTTTTCCAAATAGGTAAAATGTGCATTATTATGTACGAAGCATAATTGGCATCAGCAGTCCTTCAACCCAGATGTATCCTGCCTAGAATGACTTCTTTACATTTCATGATTTAAGTGTCAAGAATACAACAGAAACTGTCTATGGCTCTACAGAAGGGAGATCTTTACTGTTCCTTAGTCACAATTGAATAGGATCAAACTCAGACATAGCAGGGTCATTAGGAAAATGTACTGTAATTTCATGTATTTACATAACTTTTAAGTAGGCATCTGCACGGAAATTAAAAATAAGGTGGTAAATGCCACTGTCATAGTCTCGGCAACAGTAATTAGCAGTTAATTATTAGTGATGAAGATATATTGTTGCAGTGGGGAAAACATGAATAAGCAGCATTTGGCCAGCACTGTGAGTGCTGTCTGAATAATCTAAATAATCTAAATAATTCATCCGTCACGGCGCTGGTTGGCGTCGGATAAATCAGGATGACGGTCCCTGTTCTACCAGACTGGCGAACTGCAGAAGGCAGCTGATGCCCAAGATGTTATCTACAAATCTGTGGCAAAATTGGAAGTCTGAAGTCTTTGTTGTGTTGATTCCCAAGCCTCTTCTGTCCCTCTCATTGAGGGCCTGTCAGAGATAACACCAAGAACTTCCATTTGTCACCACTTCCGAAGTTGGGTTCTTCCCGATAACTCTCAAATTAACACCCCACCATCACAGAGGCCACATGTGTGCCCACTGTGACTCCATGTGTGACAACAGCAAAAAATTCACTTGAAAGCTGTATTGTTACCTTCTAATGCATTGGAGTATATGAAGTCCATTTGGAAAATAAGTCAATGCATTTTGAAGTATCAATTTCAGAAGAATGTTTTCAGCAAGACTTCCTGCCGTTGAGAAAGTTCAAACTCTGTAAAAAAAATAAAGTCCAGGTTGAGATGGAACCGTGGGGTTCAGGTAATCTCAATATATCTGTACTCAGGACTGTGACACTGTAGTGATTGTTCTTGAAAAAGGCATCTTCACCACCAGCCTTACTGGTAACTCTTGCCAGTAAGTTCCTTAACACTGAAAAGTTACTGTGTTTGCAGTAAAGTCACTGAACATTTAAAATTTAATCAGTACTGGTTTGCTTCTGTTTAGTAGAGATGCTTTAAAAATCAAAGTCTCTATGAAACAGGACTTTGTTCTGATTCAGGGTGTACAGCAGACTCCTCGGAGCAAAAATTATTCCCTTAGTCTGTCTGACAACTTGAAAACATACTTGCTGCCTTCTACCTAGGAAATCATGTTCTTAAGGGTTTAAAAATTGTGGTGCTCAAGTAATTACAGTACACATGACCTAATAACTTCACCAACTTTCTTCAGAATCTTCAACCCTAGTTCAAGCAAGCACTCCTTTGTGTCTAACTAAAGGTGGCAAAACTACAGACTGGAGAAAGGTTTGTAGTGTTGTGATCTTAAATATATATTAAATTGCAAATGTAATAAGTACTCACAAAACAAGAAAATGTAGCTGATGAACCTAAGATGAAGCAGCTGAACCTAAGTATCATAAGGGAATTCTTTTGTTAGCTTCCTTGTAATGCAGATGTTGCTTTTTAGTGAGCCTGTTTTTTTTTTTAATGTTGAGCTAGTGAGAGTCCTGTGTTTAGCTAGCAGCCAATACATTGCCAGATTTCTGTTGGTGTAACTTCTCAGTGTAGTAGGTTACAGTATAATTATATAGCTGACAGCTTATTGTAATTTCTTTATGTTCTCTTCTCACATTCCTGCCATCTTGGGATCAGAAGGACAGAAGAATTCAGAGGAAGAGTTCGAGAACAGTGAAATAATGACAGCAGAATTAATGGAAACAAGTGTTTCTTCAGGGCCATCAGTTAACCAGTTCCTATGATGGTGCCAAGGATATGCTGCTATTTTAGGCACTGTCTTTCAGAAGAGCTGTAATTTTCTTATGGCTAGTTATCTCCTGTTACTATCAGTGTTAACCCTACTGGCTCAGTTCAATTCTTCCTTGTAACTTCAGTCCAATTATATTAATTCCTACAAAAGATTGAATGGGATGTGCATTTAGTGAACTGTTGTATAATGGTGCTATGCATTGTTTAATATAAAATACATCTCAATTCTACATAAGTGAACCATAACATGAAGAAATGCAACACTGGTAATAACTTTATAGTTTAAATTAACCTTTATCTGTGAATTCTACAATACACCTTTGCTTCTTTTAAATTTGAAATGAAATTAATAAAGTTTACATATATTCACTTATGTAGGCAATAAAGGGTGTTTCAAATTGCCATAAGTTATGGATAAAATATGTGTCATATTTCATGTCCTAATTTTTAAGGAAATTTTTTTTAACTACACAGAACAGACATTAAGAGAGCAACGGTTGTTATCCCACTTTGCCTCAAAAACTAACAAAACTTCTCTATTCTAGACTTGATTATATGGCAACATATCGTAGTGTAAACTTTTAATCCCTGAATAAAATTACTTTTTAAATCAAGACAAGCTACAGGAAGATGATTATATGTATCTGTACAACATTTTAAACTCACTAACTCTAGGGGACAAAGAGGAATGGAAAATGATGGGATACAGCAGTAATTCTTCAGTTCCACCTCAGTAACCCTGCAAAGACACACCAGGGAGGTCACAGCAAAGCTTACCTTAATATTTTTTTTAATAGATGGTGACAATCACCCTCCACACTGATGAAGAGCATTGCTACCATTTCAGCAAGCAGGGCTCTTGCTGTGTGACTGCACTGCCAGGTGAGGACCCCAGACTGATGGATGCCACTGGCATGCTGAGTCTCTGCTCCACAATGACACCACAGCTTGGAATCCAGCTTTGCACTGAGTTGGATATAAAAATTACCACTGTCACGGCCCTGGAAACAAGATATCCATGTGTCTCATTTATACAAACGTTTTGTAAATTAGTAGGAACTCAGTTAATGACTCCAGCTCAATCATCTGGCTCTGCCAAAAGTCTGGAGCAAGGGGTCATTAGAACCATGTCTGTTACAGCACAGTGTTTGGGGCTGTTCCAGGAAAATCTTCCTGTGGTTTTTAGAACAACAACTTCCAAATCCCTTTATTCATGCAGGATAAATTCTCAATGGTATTTCATTAATTCATACCTAAGAGCATTAATATCTCAGGGTATTATGTCATCATCAGTCTCAGCCGCTCCCCATCAGAGTCCCTGGCATGGGAAGGGATCCCAGCCCGGGGCAGCCTGAGTGCTTCAAATGCTGCTGGAAAGCACAAAACCCTCAGCTCAGCAGCAAGGAGATTTCAAAGGACCATCCCATATAATGCACCGGCTGCCTCAGTCATCCTTCTGGCATCCCAGATGCAGAAAGCACATTCAGAATAGGGAGTTCCATAAAGAAAATCCTTCTACAGCAAAGTTTGTGACCTGGACCATTTCTTCCTTGGGTGCACACCTCCTTCTGTATGTTGGAGTAGGAGCCCTGGCACAATGGAGACTCTGCACTGCCAAACACTTCGAAGTTTAGACAGCAAAAAACCATCACTGAGCCCAAAAACATCAGTGCATATTAAAAGCTCTGATTCCCAAATAGAAGGCAGCAGGTTATGGGCTTTTCTAATGGAGCAGCAGGATCTCTGCAGATAGCAGTGAACAGCTATCTGGAATAACTGTTCCAGTCCTGTTGTAGCATAAGAATTGTTTTAAAATAACATAATGCTTTTGAACATTCGGCCTCCATGATTGCTTAAGAGAATAATTCCCAAAGGTTAATGAGGTTTTCATGAAAATAATTCATTTTAACTCTCTTTAAATACACCTCTTTGCTGCCTTTTTTTTTTCTTTTGCATTAGCAATATAAATAGAAGCTTCTTAGCTTGTATTTTTCACACCACTCATTGTTTAAAATACTTCCCTTTTGTTTCATATTACTTAACTTCTTTCTAAGCAAAGCCTTGTTTTCAGCCTCCTCCATCTCTCCAGTCATTTAGTTGCCAGTCTCCAGAATTACTTTTCATCAGTGTGGTTTAAGAGATAGGGCAAGAACAGAATTATAGGTGAATTGCTGATGTTGATTTATGGATGGGAGTTGTATTTTCTATTCTGGGCTCCTCCTGGCCCCCATGGTCTCACATCATGTTTTGTTTTCACAGGATCCCTTCACAACACACTACCCCACTAGGCTGATCATAGTAAATAATGACCTAAATATAGTTAATTTAGAGCCCTGCAAAGCCTACAAATACTTCCAATTATTCCCTTGAATGTGTGCCCGACCTTGCATTTGTCAGCACTGCATTTCATCTGCATCACACTGCCCATTTATTCACTTTGTTAACCCAGGTCGATCACAATCTTCCCTAGTTCTGATTAACTGAAGTCATTCTCTGTGAACAGCAAACAGTGCCACCCCTCTGACAGCATGTTCATCCCATTTTCAGATTGCACCAGTTGGGTGGAGTGGTGGGGCACTATACCATTAGCCTTTTGCCATGCTCAAAAAATTGAACATTTAATCCTGCTCTACCTCTTAGTTTCTAAGGCACAACTACTTTAGCTCTCACTTCTTTAAAACTCGTTTGCTTTAATGGCTTCTTGGTAGGGATATTTTTATAAGGACTTTTTAATTTTTAAATCCAAATAAATGACATCAACCATTCCCTCTAGTCTCAACAGCTGCACGATTGACTTAATTTTAGTATGTTAGAGAGGCACAATTTCCTTGCCCTAAGCAGTTACATCTCTTTTGGCAATGTTTTCTCTGCACTTTGTGCTTAAATGTGGATCTGCTGGATGTCAGACCCAAAAAGCACTTCACTGTTCAAAGTGAAACTTTGGTGGAATTTAGGCACTGAAATCCCAGGTACAACAGGCATTATCTCAGGGACAGAATCGATTCTAACCTTGCAGACAGGTATATTTTTGTCTCTGAAGACCTTTTCTCATCCCCAGTTTGGTGTCTGTGTTCACAGCCGTGTTGTCACAGCAGAGTGAGCCAAGGCAAGCCAGGCCCCCTGAGCAGGGTCTCTGCTTTGCTGTGCTCACCAGTGCAGCCTCTGAATGCCACAGGCCAGAAATCAGGTTCCAAAGGAGCTCCTTCCCTCCCCTGCTGAAGCTCCAGCCCTGGCAATGACCACAGCTGGTCTGGAGATAAGGGAGAAGCCCCCGAGTCCAGGGAACTTTGCAGTGCAAACACCAGCACTGGAGCTCCGCAGCACCCACGGATCTGCCCCCCCTCCAGCTGGACCCCTGCAGCAGGACCTGCATTTGAGAATCTCTGCAGACCTCTGTGACCCCATGTGTATCCCTTTGCTATGGAAAACAGGCTGTAAAATTTCTCTCAGCTCTTTGGTTTTTAATCACGTGGCAGCTGAAGGCTCTGAGGGGTCCTGACTCCTGCCTGTACACATTCCAGAGCTCCAGGGGTTTGATGTCCCTCCTGTACAGGGGGTCGTGTGAAGCTGCAGAAGGGCCACACTGTGCCATGTTCAGTGCCCTGTGAGGCTACTGCTAGAACCCTTCCTGAGGAGAGACTCAACCATAGCTGAAATGACCCATGACAGGGTTATCTCCATGAAAAAGCCCAAACAAATGCAAGTTTATACAAAATAGTAAAGGTTTCCAAGCACATTAGTGGTTGCTGGAAGAGCCTGGACTTTTTTCAAAAGCTGGGGTGGAAGAAGAGTACAGACAGATAGAGAAGAAAATAAAAGGACACTATAAATCAAATGAGGTGCAGGATTATTTTTGCCCTTTCTCATTGCTCTCCATTCCAGCACTACCAGCTGCTGCCCCTTCAAGGCAAGACAGAAAAATCTCAGTGGTGTCAATCTGTCTGGGTAATTTGACAAAAATATTTCATAGAAGCATTTCTAACTCTTCAAACTTGTTGCTTCATGTTTATGGCCTGTCATTGCCAGATCACAATATGCTTACAGAAAGCAGTCCAGAAATGTATCATTTCTAGCATGTCTTGAAATTTTCAAAGCACACTTTCAAAACCCAATCTAACCAAAACAACCTCCTCAAAGGACCAAAACTCTTACCACTCACCAAAATCACGGAAAATGAACAGTCAAAACTACCAGCAACAGAAAGTTGATGAGAGACTTGCCTTAGCATAGGTTTCCCATAAGTCTCCTAAAGCCATGAACACACCCTTCCTTGAGAACAAGGCTGATTAGTGCCAGCAAGGCAGCACTGCCTGTCCAGAGGAGCTGTTAATGCACAAGTGCTGTACTCACTCCTCAGCAGCACTTCAGGGATCTGCTCTATGTCCAGTCTTAGAAGTTTTAAAAATATCTGCAGAGACAATGTTCGTCTCGTATTTAAAAGATCACAGCCCTGAATGAATACTAAAATCAAGCAAAAGTATAAATAAAAGTGACAGCCATACATAAAGGCTAACCCACAGTTAAGGACAGAACTGCTCCCCCAAAGGGCTGTGTACTTTGCTGAGGACCTTTCATCATCCAGTTCACGGTGGGCACACAGAAGTTGCTCTTAATGCAGATGCAGAAAGTTCAAGAAGCTAAATTCTGAATAGCCTGACATCTAAAGTAAGCAGGTAGCTGCTGCAGGGGGTTTCTTCTAGGTCTCAGCAAAAGTTTGATGCAGTTAACTAGCACTTAGGAGATTACTTGGTCTCCCCATGTCAAGATAAGAACATGTTACAGGCTGCTTATAGTTATAAGTGTTCCAATTAGGTCAACTTGATTATTGTTCCGTGGTTTGATAGATTCTGTATTTAAACTAATTTCAAATACTAATTTTTAGACCTTTTCCGTGAACTAGTAAATCAAGTGCAATTTACTCATGGCATTATTCTCTTCCCCCTGGCTTGTAACTTTAATTAGAACCTGCTATCTGTTCACAGTGGTAATGGTAACAGTTGTCACTAGAGTACAGAGGCAGAGATTCATCTCATAGAGGCACTTTGACATTAAAACCTGACAGTCTTGCTGGCTATGCATCTGTGAATACCATCCACTAATGCTTTATTTCCCTGCCACCCTGAGCTCCACACTCCAAACACTAACAAATCTGATTATTTTTTAACCATCCAATAATGCGTTTTTCAAAACACTAGAAACTGTGCAAAAAATAGCTTCATTTGAAGATAAATACCTGCCTGGAAAGGTTATCCAGCCCATCAAGATTTCTTTCTTATTACCATAGATTTTCCCAAGGCAGTATTGTTTCTTGAATAATTATTGATCTAAGCAATTGTGTGCTAAAGCAGTCTGATTCACTCATTAAACATACACACAGAAAAGCACTTGGTTGCCCTGGTAAAAACAAACAACTCCTTTCTGCCCACTCCTCAACCCTTCCCTAAAATGTGATGATTACGTTGAAATGTAATCAGTTAATATTTGATTTGCATTTGTCAGGAAAAGGAAGCATCAAATATATTTCTCTGGAGCAGAGGAATTAGGATCTGGAAAATCGTCCAAATAACACTAGCCTTGTTTGGTTTGTTTCTTGACACACTGATTCAGAAGTTTCAGTAATTTGAAAGGAGTCTTCTAGCAACTAGCTGCAAGCAGTGAGCTCCCAAAAGCTTGCCAACCTATTATTTAGATGAACTTTTCCTTCCAATAAAAACTAACTCTTTTTTCATCATGTGATATAGAAAATTGTATCTGATTAAACGTATCAGGAACAGAACAGCTTTCAAGGTCTCTGTTCACTGCACAGACACAGACAGACTGCTCTTGAAATGGTCTGCACCCCTTGGGTAAGAGTCAGCAGCACCAGCTGGGAACAGGGCTGGGAAGGTATCCTTTAGCAGATGCTGCCATTTAAAGGACCTTATTTTTTTGCACTGACTGATGTAGCCCATGAATGGGACAAAGTTGCATTTAGCCTCCCAAATCTATGTCCCTTCAGGCACACAGCACCACTTGCCTATAGAAAAGCTGCATTCTGCTGAATGAATGGTGACAGTGCTTAAAACAGGCAAAGGAAAGGGTTCCTGCATATCAAATATTCAGTCTTCAGCTGTCCTCACAAATAGGACAAGAGAATAATCTAAAGTGTCTCCAAGGGACAGGGCAGTTCAGCACTGTCTGTTGGTGTGCCACACAGTGAAGTACAAGAGGTTATATTCCTGGTGAGGAAAAGTGGTAACTCCAGACAAATGAAGGCTCAACAGCCCTGACTCTGCAGTCTGGGAGTCCTGGGTGCAGGAGGCACCAGGGCTTCTGCACAGCCTGCTCTGGTTCCCTGCCCATGGCAGGGGAGTGGAACTAGATGACCTTTAAAGTCCCTTCCAACCCAAACCATTCTATGATTCTGACTTTCTGAAAGCATCCAGTTGAAAAAAGCCAGTACTGGGAATAAAATTTAATTCACTAACTCCTACATTTGAGAGATCAGGAAGATACCTGGTTACCTTTGGTGAACTATGGAAAAACACTGTGGCCTCCTGATCCAACCCTCTGTGAATTCAGAGGGTTTATTTCAGTATTTCAGTATTTTTCTGAAATACTGAAAGATTGTCACAATCATCCCATTGTAGTTATGAGTCAGTACACAAGCAGGAGTTCTGCTAGAACAGGGAGTGGCAGAGCATGCAGGATATGCCCAAATAAGCTTTTGCCTCAATTTATGCCAAGACAAAATTAGCATATTTTGATTGAGGTCTGTGAGATTATTCCAGTCCTGCACCAGTTAACAGGAGCAGAGTGAGCTTTGCTGGCTGGTACCACCTATTTCCTGCCATTCCTCTCTGTTGCTCACCCCCTCTGTTTTATTACCTTATCACAGAGCCAGTGCTGTTCCACATCCATGCACTCCTCCTTGTAGCATCACCGCTAAATTTAATGCTCACTACTTAATCAATTTTCTCTCAACAGGTAAGGAATAATTGAACAGTTGGGGGGTGGGGAATGACAAGATTGAGTGTGTTGTTTCCTCGTAGGAAACAAGACAACTCACCCATTTATGTTTATGCATAATTCAATTTATTCCATTAGCCAAATGACCCCAAGAGTAAAGAAATCCATGTCAACCCATCCAGTTGGTAGAAAATAACAGGTACCCTGTGCTCCAAGCCCAGCACTGGGCCACAATAAATAACATTTTCAACCAGAAGAAAAGTGAAGAGAGCAGAAGATAGGAACTTTTGCAACATATTTCTCTGTTGCCATCCTTTGTTCTGCCATCAGCAGCAGATTGCTGTTCATAACAGCAAAGCCCACAGTGAAGCCCTGGCCCCAGCTAAATCAATGGCAGAAGTTTTTGCTGACTTCAGTGAGCCTGTGATTTCTCTTCTGAATCATCAGGAGAATCTTTCTGTGTTTCAGTTTGCTGATTCTTAGACTCAGGTACCGGAAATTAAAAATAAAGGCAAAAAATACCTCCGTTTTTCAAACTTAGTTCCAACCACGGAGCAATGCTTTGTTTCTCTTCCCCACGTGTAACCTTGTCCGGATGCAGCCCCCCAGTAAGTGCTGCCTCACAACAGAGCACTCGCTGTTTTTCGCCCACTAGATCAATACCTGTCTAAAAGTATTTACTCACCAAAAGGGCTGTGATCCTTTTCTTTGTCACCCTTGAACTTCTGTTCTGCTCTTGAATTTTTTTTGCTTTTTGACACAGGTTCTTCTTTTATTTCCTGGCTCTTGCTAGCCTCTAATAGGGTGTTTTTCAGTTCTTTGCTCTTCTTTGCTCTGACATTTATTACAGAGTATACTTCATAGCTTTTCCACTTGTCTAATCAGAGGGTTGGTCCAGCAGTGAAATTGCAGCTGTTTTAAAATGCTACCTATAAACACACTATCTTCAGTTCCTGTTCACAGCAGCCTAAAGGAGACAAGAAGATGATGATGATCAAAATAGGAAATGGAAAAGACTGATGGCAGTCTTGTTTTATAGAAACAGAAGAAGAATAGAAGGGCAAGCAAGACATCCAGGTAATCCACTCTCTACTGGAATAAGGCAGAAGTTATTGTATCATACTTCTGTGAATGTATTCAACCAAACAACCTATATTCTGACTAGCAAAGACTAAAGTGATGAAAGAAGCTGGAATAAAAGGATATTAAATAAGCCCTGGATAGTTGACTGCAATATTCACAGCCTTTGGAATCCTTTATCTTTCCTGCAATTGGCCACTGACACACCATTTGTCTTTAGAGGAGCTTGTGCTTTCGTCCAGCTGTCTGAAAAACAGATAAACCATGTTCACAGTCAGCAGAGACTTAAAACCCGTATTCTTAAAGGAGTATCAGGAGCAAAAGCAGTCCTTCACTTGCTCCAGGCCAACTGAAAGCTTTTACAGAGATGGAGATGCAACAGGAAAATTAAGGCAGTCACCCTCCTGACATCTCGGGGTTGATGTCCCTGCTTTGAATCAGCTGGGGAGGATTTAACAACAGAAGCCTCATCTCCAGGGAGAATGAGCCAATTCCAGCAACACCGGGTGCCCAGAGCACATTGCCAGTGCCCCCTCCTGGGCCCTGACACAAAATGACCACCAGAGTGCTTGGTTTGGGAATGAGTCTCACAAGAGAGGTTTCTTTTACCCAGTGCCCCGAATTTTATGTAACATACCTCCCTTCTGAGAACTGATCTGCTACAGCTTGTTCCAAGAAGGGGAACAGTGTCTGATTTCACATTCCAGACAGCACAATCTTTACCTCTGCTCTGACCTCACTTCTCCTCATGCTGATGTGCTTCCAGAGGCTGCTAACCTCTGTTCTATTGCACAGAGGTAGCAGCATTTACAGCCCAGATTTTGACATGAGACACATACATGAATTTAGAATAAAACTGAAGGGAATCTCTGTCAATGTAGCTGAAAGAATATGAATATCTTTTTTTTTCCAAAGGTATCATTTTAGCATATCTTGACACAAAATGGGAACCTTGACAGTGCTCTCTTACACAACGAAGTGTATTAATTAATTCACTTTTCCAGATTTCTAGTGGCAGTTACCTATTTCAACCTTAGCAACTAGTCATACTGATATAATTACAAAGAGTACATGGTGCACAGTGTATGATCAGAAGCATATAATATACTTGAAGTGTAAAATGCTCCAACAATAAAGCTAGAATAAGAGTATTGTTTAGTTGTTGGCACAACTGGTGCATTTATAGTTGCATCCAAATAGCTCTGACTCTGAAATGAATGCCTGTGCATATTTTTTTCAATGTGGTGCATATTGTTTTTCACTTTTTAAGCCATAGGTTAAAGCCAGAGAAAGGAATATTTTGAACTACAAATATATTGTAGCTTCTACTGTTTCATGGGGTTTTTTACTGGAGGGGTGTGTAGAGGGGATAATGAAAACCTTTTACCTATGCATGTCTGACACGTGATGAACAACTGCACAGAAACAAAAGACAACTTCCTTCCCAAGTAAATCCCTGTATTTTCTGCTCAAAGTCTACTGAAAGATAAGTTGATACATAAAACCTGAAATGTCATCAGTTTTTTTTTCCTCCATCATCTTTCTAGACTCCAAAGACAACTGCAGTCAATGAGCACATGGCTTTTGATTTGAACAGGTATTAGGTCACCATTCTGCTGTTACTACTTCAGACTCTTTGTGCTCTTATTTGCTACTCTGGTGTTCTACCTCATCCAGAAGTGTGGACTGTAAACTTTCTGGCACATCTTTCTCTGCAGGAGCAGAAAGGACAACAGATGTTGACAACCTCAACACAAACAATGATGTGCCATCCTTTGCATCCACTGTCTGACACTCCGACAACAAGGTCTGTACAGCCTCAGCATCTGCTCCAGTCTGCATAACAGGAAAAGTTCGTTCAGTCCATGGCTTTGCCAAAAGGAGCCAACAGCTGGGGTCTTACAGAACTGTGAGAAGATGAAATGACATTGGAGCAGAGTGTGTGGAGCTCAAGAATCCTTTCATTACACAGGACTGTACGAGCAGAGCCAGGCACAGCACCGTTTTATACAGCCTCGGGGTTTCTACACTTGTCTACCACAGCTGCTTTCTTTCCAAGCTTTCTCTCTCATCCCAGAGCCAGGAGCAAACCCAGGTGAGTGTTACCAGCCAGGAATGTGCTCCTGGTTTGTGCTGTTCTCTCTCTAAGCTTGTGCAGTACCAGTGTCCAATGCAACACAAACGACTCAAAGCCCATCATACCACTTGTAGCCTGGCAGCTGTGCAGACCCTTTTCTCCTCCAGCAATAAAATGTCTGCAGATGACCTTGTATTAGTCTGGTTTTAAAAGAGAATTGCAATGAGAATGGTGTCATATCAGGCCCTTCATTCTACTCCTGTAGAAATCAGTATTGAAGTCAATACAAGTTCTACCAATGAATCTTTAACTTTGCTTAAAACTTGGTTTTTCACCACTTGTCTGCCACAAGCCATCACACCCCCCCTGCCCTACCCAAAGAAATATTAAAGTTAATTAATTCATGTAAGATCTGGTAAGAGAGAAATCCCTGGCTTTGGATTTAAAGGTAGCTCAACCAATTTGATCACCCAAAACTTGAACAAAAAATAAAACATTGCAGAATCTATCCACAGACCACTAAGAGACAAATTTCAGTCCTGCAGGGCTTAGGACTACATTATTAATGGTATTCTGTAGGTTACCAGCTGATTTGTCCATATTATTTCAAGGTGACTGCATTTTTATGTAGCATATGCCTGACACCATGGGTACCATTACCGCTACCATGTAATGCCAGTTTTCATGGGTAATTAATTGATAAATGACAGCCAACTCCTTCTTAGCTGCTACATAAGTCCGTTATTAACACATTTAATTCAATAAAGAGTGGGATAGTGCAACCCACAGTGAAGGGCAGAGGATCAGTTTGTTCAGTCTCATCCCTGAGTGCTGCAGGAACAGCTCAGTGCTCTCTTACCATGGGTCACCTGCACTCAGGAGGAAATCAGAAGTAAAACCAACACCAGCCATTCCTTTCCCAGAAGAGCTTAACATTAACATGAGGAAAGGACAGAAACCTCAGAGGCCTGTCCCTTAAGGTTATTCCCTGCAGCTGCAACACAAAATACGAGGAAAGTGAACGCTCTGAACACAACATGAGCCCCTGGAAAACAAAAATTTACCAAAGGGAAGAGGGATGACAACAGAGCAACAAAATTCACAGAAGAAGAAACAGAAACAAAAATTAAAAAAAAAAAATAAAAATAACCAACAACCAAACAAACCAAAAGCCAAACACTGAAGCATGCTGACTAAGGAGGGTGAGAATTTTAATGATGCAGTAAAATAAGCACAAGTATTTGTCCAGTGAGAGATTTAATTATGAAGACATAATGGCACTGAAGGAAGGATCCGAAATAGATCCTCCTTCTGTGGTGTGAAGAACAAAGAGCTGGTAGAAATCTTTATTGTAACTGATTTGGTGTATTTTAAAGTAAACCAATCCTGCTGAATTTCTAATTAAAATAATCCATTAACATCAACATTATGAAAGCTCCTTTTTACTTTTATGAATCCAAATTCAACTTTGAAAAGGGGTTTCCTAAAAACATCTGTTATGTTGATGCTGTTGAGGTTTCACAACAGCTGCATAAAACTAATGTAAAGTGAAGTTATAAAATTAACATGCATTTCTGAAGTGTATTAGAATTACATTGACAATGCTAACCACAAGTCCTATCCTTCCCTGGAAAACTTTTAAAGAAAGTCTCCCCTAAACTGTCATTCCATAAGTAAAAAATAATACAAAGCTTGTCTAAATGTTCTTTATTATAAAGTAAACTGAATTTACTGACCTTCTGACAGAGGCATCTCCAAGAGGAATCTATGTGCCTGAGTTTTTGGTAGAATGCCAAAATGAAAGAGCTACATTTTCAAAGGTGTCTTTAGGTAGCTCGATAGCTTTAAAGAATTTACTGCAGTGAAAAGCTATCAGCCAAATTCTTGACTGAGTCTTTATTACAGTCCTGCTACAACATTGTGGCATTATTGATTAGAAATTATTGTGACTTGACTCAGATTTAGGAATACAGTCAAGCAGCTCTCTAACATCAACCTTGTAGAGCTCTTTAGTGATTGTTTCAATATCAAATAAATAAATGATAACTGAGGCAAGGAATTTCAATTAATTACACTTTTTTTTTTTTTTTTTTTTTTTTGCTGTACCAGCATTTCTTTGACAAAAAATGTCAAAGTTTTGGGGTTCCTGCTCAGAACAGAACGAATACAGATTAGCTGCAATTGTGTTTTCACTTCTGATCTCAATTTTGGGCTCTTTTTTTACCTATCTTTATTGAGATATAAGTATGACTCTCTTCTCACATACATCTTCAAGCTTGTGGGGAGGTTCAAAGTCACAGTTATTCTGCTGTATTAATCCACAGAATACAGATAAATTTAATGTGTACCTACTGGTGCAGCTCAGAAGTGAAGACAGTTGGGAGAACACAGACAAATCTCCCTCAAGACTTTTGTTTTAAATACTTTTCCAGAATGATGAGACAGATGCTTCCACTAATGATTATCTTGTTTAACTGTTCGTGGTCTCTTCCCTGGAGCAATTTGTCTGAAGAGAGACTTGGACAAGCAAGTCTCTGGTACCCTGTTGCAGATGAAAGGCTGTGAGCAAAGTCCTTCTGCAGAGAGAGGAGGGACCAGCACAGGCACCGACAGCAAACTGGGGACGAGCTCTCTGGGGCAAGTTTGTTTGAAAGCTTTTAAAGAGCTTTAAACAGCTGCTTCCTACCAGGCCCTTTGCAGGCTTCGGCTCCAGGAGCAGCTGGGAGGAAGCCACAGCTCAGATCCACACTCAGGGCAAACCTCCAGGGCTGCCTAATGAGGGTTGGGATCTCTCTGCCCCTGTAAGACAC